CAGGCTGCAGAAAATATTCCACCATGCAAAGAAATGTCACGACATGCTGCTTTTCAAGTTGAGCTGAATTTCTTTAAGAGCTCATTTTCCTATATCAACATGGCATTTCTTCCTCTGGCCATCTTAATACTGTTGGATTTCATTGTAATGCACTGAACATTCCTGCCTGTAGAAACACGCCCTTCAGTTCACACCCTTCAGCAACATGTTAACATGAACTGATTCTTGAAAAGTGAATCTGCATCTGTGTTGTTTGTAACTACATGAACTGAAGGCTTAATATGTACCAACATAGTTGAAACTGTACAGAACATGATCGCATATGTAACTTTACTGTTACCATATTAAATTAAGGAGAGCAGAACCTCTGATTTTGGTAAACTTTCAGTTTTGTTTTAAGCTCGAGATGTTAAACATATTATTAACACAGGAGTACATAATCTTACAATCATCATATCACCCACCCCAAGTCAAGAGATCTCTGGAAACCTCTGAGAGCAAAAGCTTTCTGATAAATATTGCTGGTACAGTTTTTACATACAAGTGTCTAGTGGATTCAAAAGTCACTCAACCAGTTTCATGAAGTGAAATGCAATGGAAACAGGAAGGCAATCGATCATATTATGTAACAACTTCTACAGCATTTGTAATAAAAAAGGTTTCAAAAACAAACACTGCTTTATTGAATTATTGTTGCGCCTATCCAGCAGGTTTATCAGGAATCGTGTGGTCATAGGACACATAGACACTGTGGTGCAAGCATATGGCAGATGTATAAAACACATAAACATGCTGCCATGACCTGACCAATGCTGTGTTAGCAAGTCATAGTCATAAAATGTGTTGTCACCTGTGGTCAAACAACTACTGAGTCTTTAACACTAGCTGCTGTGAGCAGCAGTGATGACAGGGCTACGCCAGTGGCAAGAGCCACCTTTTTTTTCTTTTTTCTCTACCTAGCAGTGTGACAGGGCCTGCCTGATGGGGATTTGTCTCTACTGAGGCACTGCTTTTAATCTTCTGCTTATATGACACACAGAGGGCCCATCCACAGCCTGGCCCTGCCACAAAAACAGGACTCTAGATTGTGGGGTCATCACCCATTGGCAAAGACACATCACACAGGATGAAGCTCTCTCTCCTCCCTGTGCACTGACAGAATGACCCTGCTTTAGAGCTTATCCCAGAACCCAGCAGTAAAGTCACTGATGTCCTTCTAAATGCTAAAAGCAGAAATGTCAGCTGATGGTTTTCAAAGTCCCTCTGGGACTGAGAGGTAGCAGTGGGCCGTAGTGGTGACGGACAGCGGAGAAAAAAGGCTGGGTCCTGGAGGGAGAGGGTAGGTCAGGGCTAACATATTTTCAGCTTTGATGTAGCTCTGCTGTGGGGCCAGTCTCTCCCCTATGGGAAACTAACATTCATGATCTTAAGCAAACAGCAAAGACAAAGCTTGTGGAGTGCTTTGCTCATCAGTAAGTACACTGCACACAAATTATAAGGACCACAGTCATTATTTGGCGATGCCTCTGCTTAGTCTCATTCTAGTTCAGCTGCATCACACCTGACTTTTGCTTTGTTGTCAGGCAAACCCAAAGAGTATGTGCAGAGAACAGACAGACATGTGATAAATCATTTATTCTGTATGCCATGTTGCAATGATGGCACGCTAGGGTGAGTGTGCAACAAAGAAAAAAAAACAAAAAAAAACATGCATGCACAAGTCTAAGACAAACTGTGGCTGCCAGACATATCTCACATCAGCAAAAGATTAACACAAAAGGAGAGTCTCCAAATTCTCCACATAAAAACTGTATGGAAGGTCAAACTGGGAGCTAATTAGGCTAATGGCTCTCTCCTCAGCAGTTTACAGAGAGAAGACTTATCCCTGCTGAATTGATTGTGCAATCTAAGCTTTTGAGGAACTGCCTTTCATCACACGATCAACATAAATGCTTTGGTAAGTAAAGGTTACCCAGCATTAGACAGGTCTGATTTTACTGCTTTTGTAGGTAGCTTACAAAAACTTTAAGTAACTTCCTTAAAAGGCGGACCAAGTCATGCAGGATGAAAATGAACAAACTGCCAAGATGTTTTCAGGTGAGATGAAGAAATAAAGCATCAGCATAATTGTACCAAGCCCACTGACAAGAGCTGATAAGATAAAGGAGGTACTGCACAGTCCATTGTATTCAGACCATTGACTAAATCATTCGTCAACCACCCCTGAACTCCCACTACACTGCACACATGTCACATAAAAACTGGGGGAAGAGATAAAGTAGCATGCCGGAAATTACCTTTAAATTTTTGAAGCACTAAGGATAATAAAAACAGCGACTTGATAAGTTTCTCTGGGCAGCCAACTCAAAAATTGGCTCATCATTTGAGATTCCTTTTCCTGAGAGAGAATACTGGCTTTCAGGAGAACAACCCTGGTGAGTTAATCTCATCATACCCATGATATACACAACCTAATGTAGGGATCATGGGGAAACTGGCTCTTGTAGACTCAGTGCTAAAGGGTCAGTATTGATGAGCTTCAAAAACGTGCACAGGGGAGGTAATGGAAAGATGAGAGGGATGAGGGGTACAGCAAAGGTAAGCCTTGGTAGAGCCTAGAGGAGAAATCATTAAAGTCTGACAATGGAATCTTTTTCACTTTCGTCAGTCCTGACGCATATACATACAGAAGGGTTTCCCACACTGAAAACAGAAATATAAAATTAAGTCCCTTGGGCGGCCAGATTTAGCAAAGATCTGTTCACACGAGGTGACGTCATAACCACTTTCAACCTCTTGGGGAATACAACCTCTCGGGAAGTGCACCTCATTAACTCTGTCACTTCAACTTTGGAGCTTTTTTCTACACAACAACAAAACAAGACAAAACACAACTGGTCTGTAAAACAAATCACAGTGGGGCTGTGATTTACCCATTTACTATTGGTGGGGACCTGAACTTAAAGATTTTTCGCTTCTTTTGTCCAACAAACTATCCAAAAGCCATACATACACAAGTCTGATATAACAAAAGACGAAGAAAAAAAAGTTTCTACTTGAGAAGCTGTTGGGTGGTTTCATTAAAACACTTCTGATTGATCAAAGTCGTACATACAGCACATAGAAAACAAGCAATTTATTGTGCATTAAGGCTGTAAACCGACAATGAATCAACAGGTTTTTATGCCAAAAGGATTCATTTAGCCTTGGCTTTTCAGGGTTGACTTGATAGCACAAGGACCAGCCTGTCTGTCAGACCACATGGAACAAGGTTAGCTGATTACACTGGCTGACAAAAAAAATAAATAAAAATCTGCACCAAGCAGCAAGAGAAGGTTAAATTGACTTGACATCCACAAAAATAGCAAAAGTTGTATGCTTTCTTAAAAGCTTAAAACAGTGACCAAACAATAATAATAATAATAATAATAATAATCTTCCCACTACTGTAATTTTCTAAGTCTCTAAACCAATTAAAACTTCAAGACTAATTTGTTTACCTGCTTTCCGTCTCCCTGTGTCCTCTCCAGAAAGACTAGGTTTAACGCGGACCTATGTTTTGACTTTCCCCATATATACACTATCCCAGTGGTCTAAACATCAGAAAACATATCATAGATTAGAAAATAAGAGTCCCCAGGCTCCAAATTCACTAGTGCAATAGGAAACTAAATCTTTGTACAACAAGGCCAAAGTAGGACAACGGATACTGTTATCTTTGTTTCTGATGTGGCCACGACACTGCAGGCACTGACAGGAACGGACACAGCGCGGCCACCCAAATCATTGGTGTGCATTCAAAAACACTTCTGGCTCTGTTAGTAAACTGAACTGTCTCGACTGGCAGTGACAGCCCAGCTAAAACTAACAAGTTTATGCTGATTTATAGAAGTCAGGAGAAAAAAAACAAAAACAAACAAAAAACAAACAAACCCCACAACAGTGAAAAGCAGGTAGTTGTAGATGAACTAGTAACAGAGAAGATAGCAGCACCGTTCCAAGCCCTGGGTACATCCTAACTTTGGGCCTGTGAGGATCTGCGGTCTCCCAGGAGGGGCTGAATGCATAGTGGGAAACAAAGCCCTGCTTACTTTGGGACTATTCCCAGGACAAGACTCTTTCTGGGTGTGCTGATATTGTCAGCACAGCGAGAGGAAAAAAATAACCTCAAAGTGAAGGAGAAAAAAAACCCAAAACCCAATCCCACAAGATAAAAAGAAACAAAGTAAAAGGCTGAGAGAAAGGCAGGATAATTTCCTCTTTAATTTCAGAGAGCACTCTAAGTGACAGATACTGTTGTGCACAGAGCTCCCAGTACTTCGTGACAATTGTTACTATGCTGCTGAATGGCCTGTGCTTACTTACACTCTATAGTATGCTGGGCAAGAGCCGTTAATGACAGCAGCTTTTCCTTCCCTGAGGTCCGTATTTACTGGGACATAGCTCAGCACTCAGAGGTAAATTATTACTATAGGCAGACTAGTATTTATTTTGGTACACCAACAGCTCCCACTGAAAAGAGCTGTATCTTCTTCTATTTATGCAATTTTATATCATAAAAGTATTTCTGCTGATATGACTTTTAACTGAGGATCTGAATACTTCAACCCTCCACACACACTCACAACATGAGAAGCTGCTCGCCCAAATAGACTCTTGTGACAAACAAGTTGAATTGAGGTCAGGTGTTGAAATATCAAGTTGGGATGACTTTCATCACAGCTTAACAAGGAACATGGGCTGTTGTGATATACTGTGACCAATGACGCTACATACAAAAAAAGCAAGACTGTGAAAAAACTACATCCTGTCTGTAGGAGGTTATGCACTTAGTAATTGGCCAAAGAAATATATCAAATGTAAAGTGTTGTAGGTGGATTGACTTTCAGGCATCAAATATGAATAGCAGAGATTCAAAAGTATCACAGCACAAACAAACAAACAAACACATGACCAAAGAAGTAAAAAACACACAAAATCAAACTGTGTGCTCTTCTTACCTGAACAACTTCTATTCCTCTTTTCCTGAAAAAAAGGACAAAATAAGACTTTTTATTTTGTAGAAGATATAAGATGAAAATGCTCAGAAACAGACATTGCTGTTTATTTAAGGACCTAAACGCTAAAGGCGTGTTATATAAAAGTATATCATGTAGTGTAGGTGAAGATGCCTTTGTTGTCTTTGAGTCGTACAGACGTAGGCTCAAACATTCAGAGCAGAAGACTGATAGGAAGTGAAAAGCAGAATTAAAAATAAATAAATAAAACAAAACACACGCGTACGCTCGCTCACGTGCACACATACACAGCTAAATGATGTACGATTGGTCTGATTTTAAATATTTATTTTTCCATTTGTGTTACACCATGTAAGACATGTTTCTCAATCATTTGTCCGCACTTGTCTTGCTTTCATAACAGTGGTTCCTCCAACTGTGGGGTGCTGACCGAATACTAAGTTCTAAGGGAAACTAAACAAACAAGAGTGTGCTGACGTCATCACACCAAACTTTACTTAACTAAAATTCAACTAAATCCACTTTTTTTTTATTGGTAATTATACAAATAAAAAGATTAAAATTGGTAGAACACGTGGTGTGAATTTTGAATAGGTTTTTGAGAACCACTACCTTTTAATCTAACACAAATCTTTATGTAAATTCACATCAAAGGAGTTCCCCTCCATAAGAGGAATTAAACAGAAACTCATATCTCTCCAATAGTTTAACTTCATGAACAGTAAGATGCCTGAACCAGGGACACATAAGCCTTCTGCATCTGAAGATAGGAAATAAATGAAACATTATCTTAATTTAGCCACAAAATTTATCTGCAAGTAAGATTATTATGATGGAAATACTAAATCCCACCCACAGACCTGGAGAAACTGCAGTTTCTGTGCAGTTTCTACCTTTTGGGAACAGCACAGAAATACTAGACTTTGGGTAGAAATAAAAAAACAAAAAACAATAGGACACAGCAGTATTTAAATATATATGCATAAATTTAAATGTGAGATGGCTTATCTCTTTTGAGAGAGGAGCATTACTAAACTGGCACCACACATTTAAACCTGCTGGGTGTATGCCGGTCCTAACACCTGCACTGAGAGGAAAACCTCAGCCCAAACAGAAAGCAGAAGAGAGGGCATTTGTACAATCCTGGTTCAGCTGGCTCGGCGAAACCCTACTAGGTCAATACAGAAAGTTAGCCAAAGAGTTTCTACACAGCAAAGCATAACAGGAAAAACTCCAATGCTTAATGCAGCGACTCCTAGTTGGGGGAATTCACAAAGAGAACACCACCAGCCTAACACTACATCCAATTCATCCTTTCCAAGCAAGCAGTTTTTGAGGTTGCAGTCCCATGGTAACAGCAGTGCAACCATTCACCGCTTCACAACAATGTGGATATTTAATACTGCAGCTGGTGCGTTTCATGCGACGTGAATGAGGTCTTTAGTTTCGTGAGATATGGAGATCCTCTGCTCTGCTATATTGTTACACGGTCAACACAGTGAAAGGGAAACCTTTCTCTCTCACACACACATACACAACCACTTTGATACAGGCACACTGTACATCTATAAACCTGGAAGTTTAGCATTTAAGGCACATCGTGTGGCATTAACAGTTACCAAGTTGACAAAGGGTGTAAATGAGATGGTGACCATAAAGTAAATAACATTTTATGCATAGCTAATTAACCATACAGAAAAGTATTTTGAGCATTTAAAAAAAATAATTTTTAAAAAGTACCAATTATTATCCAAGGGAAAACGTAGGCCATGAGGATATTCAAGATTTGTCTGTTAATATTTTACTCCGTGGGGCTTTACTTAGGTGGATCAGCCAGCTATACTTTGAGGTATTTATTTATTTTAACCCTTATCTGTTTAAAACCTAGATTAAATGAATTACTCTCGATTTTGAAAATTCAGAAATTGATGTTCTGCTCCAACGACTCTGTGAGCTAAACGGCATGAAGAACATTCTGGAGAGGCAGCTGATTTTTGCTAGTCAAAAAATACAAAGCTTCTTTCGACTACTCCCTTACTCACATGGGATCACCACAGCAGATGGATTCACAAATTTGATTTGGCAGACTTTTAGACTAGAGGCCCTTCCTCTCTTCTCCTCTTGCTCTTGAATTGGAGACCTTTTACCTTTTAAATATACATGTTATTAATTATTTGTTTATTTATCTTTTTCTGCTCATTCCAGGTTTATATACAAGTCTTCCAACAATTTCAGTAAACTCCTTGCATTTGTTATTATTAGTATATTGTAGTATAATGTAGATGAGAGTTGTGGTGAAACTGAAGAATGAGAAAATAATATTTTCAGATAATCTAATGAAAATCAGGGTTGCTGCTTTTTAAAGCATCAGGCATGTGTGCCAACTGAAAAGATGCCTCTCAACTGCTGTGCAAGCTGACATAAACTCAACTAGCTCTGACCAGCAGGAACCCCAAAGTCCAGATGCAAGAGACAGGACAGACTCTTCAATTATGCACACACAATGTCAGCTGCTTACCACATGATGACAGGGGAAATTCTGTCCAGTCACTGTTTAAAAGTAACACTGACACATGGTTTATCTTTCATAATAATAAATGATACAGGGAAACAGATACATTTAAACCATCAAGTAAAAATTGCACTTCATGAAATTAAGCACAAAGGGTCACTAAATGAATTTAATACTACATAAAGTCTCTTTAATTTGGAACAGACTTCCTCAGACGCACAACACCAGGTCCAGATAAAGTTTAAAATTGCCACATCCTGTACCTCTTTTCAAAAGTCGCGGCTTTTTAGAAAACATACATGCAAGGTGGTAGGGTGTTCTTAGTGCCATCCTTCCTTTCCTCATAACATTTGTTTTCTATGCTACATGACTGGAGTAGGAAAAGGAGAACTTGAAGAAAAGTTTCCCTGACTAACAGGGAGAAGTAGTCATGTGTGAACATATACAAGCCACATTCACTTTGTGGCTCATTTGCAGTTATCTGCTGTGCCATTTGTTGCAGTTTTCAAAGGCTATGCGTCACAAAGACCAATTCTTAATGCTGAGCCAGAGCTCTTCGTGTCAAACATATCGAACAAACCTATATCCAGCTCATAGGGAAGAAGGTGGTGAGCAGGATGCAGGGAGGAGGGGAGGTATGCTCGGAGCTTTATGTAGAGATTAAAAATGTTTCGTGGATTACAGTGTGGTAATCTGTGCTGACTCAATCAGGTTGCTTTATGAGGCAACACACTGTTGGAAAAGGTGAAAATCCTTCTGGAACATATCAACATATCTGATGTACTGAGGCACATGTGTGCAAAATCACAGGACCGGAGATTACATTGTTTTGTCCAGCCTCTCTCAGATTTTCAAGACATGTTACTATGTGATAACTAGCCCTCATACAGTGCAAGTAGGTAAGGTCACATCGAGCCAAATACTTATACTGGAAACTAGTATGATACCTACTAAAACAAAAAACGGCACAGTGAACCAGCTAGAGCTTCTCTCTCTCACCCTTTCATATTGCTATGCGAGATTCAACAGTTGCTCGGATTTTTTTTTATTGTAAATATTCAAAGGTAACAAATTGTGTCTGCTTGATTAACGACACCCATCTCTTGTCTGAAGTGTCTGGGGAGTTGCACACACTGAAAAAGACACCTACAGGAAAGTGAAAGTGAGAGTAGAAGACAGAAACTAATAAAAGCACAGAGTTTTGTCTTTTTCCCCCTTTTTTTTTTGACCTCACTTTAAATGTATTTGCTCATTTATTACTAAATTTTTTTGTTTACAAAGTTAGGAAACAACGTCTAAGTCAGGGCTCATATTAGTGGAAAAATCTCAAGTCCATTAGCACTTGTATCCGAATGGTACCCAAAACCGATACTGTACTTCAGTATCTGTACTGAAAACGTCAGACTGCTGCATCACCAGCAGCTAGGCAGCTGTTGCAATGAGACTATAAAGCGGCTGTCTCGCCCTAATGCCCTTTGACAATCTGATATACTGTACAGCACCTATCGTAAAACAGCAAGGACGAGCTCACATCTGCTAAGAAAATATAGGCCCTTCAGCTTGTGTAACACTTGAGTCAGCTGGATAAGAGACACAACAAAATAGTGTGCACACAGCACTCACATAGATGCGTCTGTCAAGGCTGGGGGAATCTGTGCAAATTCTTACACCAGCCTTGACTAAATTCATGTTAGGACGATGCATTTGGTAAGAACAGGTTTATTTTCTGTTGATAAACAGAGACAAAAGCCTCAGACTGAGCTAGCACTGTTCCATCTACATATGATAAAAAATGATATGGTGGTCAGAGTTGAACATCAAATGCTACTTTTTAGATACGTTAATAAGGAAGAGACTTTTTCTTTTAGACCACATTTAGCTGCTTTAAAGTTTAACGCTCTGAGCCAACTGACCTAATAATAAAACTGGTTTTGTCAGCTTATCCTGTTACACATTTACCATGCACCAACAAGCACTGTGCCAGGACATACACAAAACAGGCTTGTGCCCGATCCTTTGGGGAACCCATTTCTTCACAATACAACAGAAAAGGAGATTAGCAGTACGGCTTCAGGCCACATCAGCAACCTTAAATGCTTAGCATGCATGAGTAGGGATGTCACTCACTGACATTTGGTGAGCACGTTTGTGTGAAAAGTGCCTAAGGGCTTAAATCTGTGAGAAGAGTCCTCCTTGTCACAGAGCCTTAAGGGGAAGTTTCGATGAATTGTCACATAACTTGTTAACCATAGGGGCCAACTATGTGAATGCATGTAGTTTGACGGCTGTTCTTCAATCATTTCAACTGCACACAATAAACTGGAGTTAGTTAACGAACCTGCACAGATCAGCAAAGGCCTGGAAATTCAGTTTCTTCATCTTCTTCTCGCTGAGCCAGTAGCCGACTCTCCGGCCTTTCAGGAAAGTCTGCATTTCCACTGTGCCCCTGGTCCTTTTTTTTGCAGGTAAATGGTGCAACTAATGACTCAACCTGGACAGACGAGAACAGACCCCCCCCACACACACACACACGTTAGTGTCACAACAGCCAACCAGGGAGCAATCTGGGGAATAATTAAGTTCACTGCTCGGTTACTGATACGTTGCTCCAAAGCAATAAGTGACGTCTTCTACCAGTCTGTCTCTTGGATATTCACGGTCTTGTGGTTAGCATGATATAGTTTCCAAACGTAATATTACAGTGCATCTGGCTGAGCATCAGCGAATCCCACACACTGACCCTCTTTTGCTAACCCCAACTGCTAACGTTAGCTGGCTAGCTATGTAGTGACAATCTCCAGAGCTAACCGATGGCGTGCAATTAGGAAACGCAAGCTAGCTTCCTAGCTTTACAGGCTGAACACAGTCGTAATACGTGCCCATAAGAAATGAGTGAATTGTTAGCGGAAACAGCTCCTGGTTACCTAAAAATAAGGCAACTCCCTCAACTAGATAAAGCTGACATCGGGAGGCTATAGAGAGCTAACTAACCTGGCAGTTTTAGCACAGTTCCCCTTGAATTTGCGTCCTCTTCAGAAACTAGCTCGCGTAGTTTGCCATTCTCAGCCCGTTCGCTGGAGAAGGAGTAACAAGCACGATGACAGGCACCGCTGGGCTCACGTTGAGATGTTGCTGGTGTTTTCTCTCTCAGTCTCTGAACTGGACTGCCCGCACACACCCAGGATCCAGGAGACTGATGCCGCCTTCACGACCCCCTCGGAAAACACCACCCCTGCCTGACTGACTGTCGAATCACAGCGCGTCTTGCTTTCACGCGCCTTCCTGCTTCCACTAATGATTATCTTTCCTGTTATGATATAGAATAATCGAGTCATTGTTTATCTATAAAATGTAACAAGATAATTAACGAAAAGACGTCCCTTAACTATATATATATATATATTATCGTCATATTTTCCCATTTCAAACCCCTCAAATGTTAATTCATGATTTGAATAATTAGAACAAGTTCTGTTGATTTGCCTTTCTAATAATAAATGACGAGATGCGTTAATACTTATTTCGTCCCTCCACATTCATCATCTCTTCCAGTTTTTGACCCGTAACAGACAAGAGAAGCATGTCACACTAGCGCCATCCGTTGGAAAACTATCGAAACGTCCAACATGTTTTCCCCATGCTTAAACCCCATGCTGGCGGGGCGATCGTGGCTCAAGAGTTGGGAGTTCGCCTTGTAATCGGAAAGTTGCCGGTTCGAGCCCCGGCTCGGACAGTCTCGGTCGTTGTGTCCTTGGGCAAGACACTTCACCCGTTGCCTACTGGTGGTGGTCAGAGGGCCCGGTGGCGCCAGTGTCCAGCCTCGCCTCTGTCAGTGCGCCCCAAGGTGGCTGTGGCTACAATGTAGCTGCCATCACCAATGTGTGTGTGAATGGGTGGATGATTGGTTGTGTAAAGCGCTTTGGGGTCCTTAGGGACTAGTAAAGCGCTATAAATACAGGCCATTTAAACTGAAAAGGCATCTAATTAAAAGTCAGTGATTGGGGGTTTCCACCCAAGTGGCACAAAAACAACCAACAACAAAAGGTTATTAATCAGAATTTGTGGAATGCCACAGCCAGTGTTATAAAATGAGAAAAGTAATATGAAGATTAGAGGGAGTGCAAGAGAGAGACAGGAAGGAAACAACGGCACGTGTGTTTGTGCGCAAACACCTCTGCAGGTGTTAACCACAACAAACAGTTGTTGCTGTTTCAATTTATTTTTAATATCACACACTTTTATGATTTTACTGAAGTTTTATTGTGATGACTACTGGGTACAATATCTAGCACCGAGGACAGAAACATTTGGCCTTTGTGCCTAAAGGGATTTTTTTTGCTGCTTATGCTTTCATCAAGTCTTTTTTGGAGTACTGTGAAGTCCTGCACGTGGTGATCCAAAGGTTAAAACTCCAGCTATAGGCTTTCAGTTAGTAAAAAGGTAGCACATTAACACTCATGTTTTGGCTTAATTGCACTTGCTATATACCAGGTGTTGTTCATTATGTTATTCACAATTTTAAAATGTTATTCATTATGGATTCAACTCTATATTCAACTCTATATTTCGCCTGCAAACAATTTCCCCCAGTCCCAATTTTTCTGTTATTTCATCGATGCTCTGGATTTGTTTGCCATCCCAAATTAGATACTGTTCAGCCTATCGCTTGAATAGCCACACATGCAGGGGTTTGGATTTTATTTTGTTTTAAATCCATCCATTAAATCCATTTAAATCCACGCATCCAACCTGTCCAGAATCTAATTGAATACAATTCTTAATTCTACGAGGTTTTCAAAAACTAAACTATTTCAAAAATACACAACGGACGCTGCTCAAGTGGCTGGAAGGAGGACAGACCACAGACTAAACCATAAAAAAGGGTAGGGTATATTATATTCTTTAAACTTACAGAGAGCTCTATTATTTTCTTGCTCCCTCGCCTCTCCTTCTTTGGGACCAGCACTGTTCATTTCCATTGTTTCCACTGGAGTGGAGAGTTTTTTTGTTTTCCTTTTATGATAATTCACACCACTCACCAATTTACAACTTGTTTGTATTTTGAGAAATATACGCCAGCTGTTATAGAAATATGACCATTGCCTATGTCTACAGACAAAACTTAAGGCAATTCGTCTATTTACATATTGGGCGAATTAACACTTAAACATCTTCTCCTGATATGCCCTTTTAAAGCCTTTGTGATGCTAGATCCAAACAAAAATATATATATATGTAAAAAAGAAAATAAACAGATAAAAATCAGTCGTACTTGTTTGTGCAACAGCCATTAATTCGTAAACCCCAAAACGGAAATAGACCCGAAACGGAATCTATTTTATTATTAGGTGCCACTTATAATAGCTAACGTTTAATTTTTTTGATAAAGGATGAACTAATGTTTCCTAAATCAGCTCTGTTTTATTATTAAAGATAGAGTACCGCTTGTAAGATGAGTAAAATATCTTTGGATGGTGTTTTTGTTCTATATATGCTACTATTATTTTTGCTTATTGCGTTGTAATGTGTTTATTTTTATTTAAAAGTACTTTAAAATATATATATAATAATAAATAAAACACTACTAGATTTTTAAGGGAACCACTGAAAATGAAAGTGCAGTAGAGTTTAATTTTTTTTAAATTCGTTTTTTAAAATTTTATTTATTTATTTATTTTTAAACAATAGCAGGTCGTGAATAGGTATCTTGCGTCACTTCCTCCACGTGGTCTCGGCCTAAACTCCCGCCAGGAACAGTCGTTTGTCAACAGTGTGGCGGTACCGCAGCTGCTGCTCAGTCTTCGGTGTTTCATTGTTTACGTTGGAGTCATCTTTACCCTCACTTCCCAGGATGGCAGCGAACAAGGGCGACTCGGATATTGATGATATTCTTACCAGCGAAGAAGAGCTCGAGAAGGCTTTGTGTGTGCTGGCTGGGAGCGACCCAGACAACTGCTCTTACTCCAAGGTAGGAGAAGCTTCCTGCACAGCAGCCCTGCAGCCTGTGTGTCGCCCATTGTACGCCTAGTAGCCTTTTCCAAATGCTGCATTGTAGTGTGGTCTGTGCATTGTAAGCGTTTTGTTTTTCTTTGTGTTAAATGTTGCAATCTGCACCGCTGAGTTTCTGTGTGGTTCTCGTCACCGATGTTTATGAGAAGCACGGTGGAAGTATTGTTATGTTAAAGCACATTTTCTCTTTGTTACGGATGTCAAATCAGTAATATTTTGTGAATTGATGCTGTGTGTTGATGCCACGTGTGTTGTTGCTCTGCAGGGTTATGTGAAGAGACAGGCGGTGTTTGCCTGCAACACTTGCACTCCAAATGATGCAGAGCCTGCTGGGGTTTGTCTGGCCTGCGCCAATAAATGCCATGATGGACACGACATCTTTGAACTGTATACCAAAAGGTAGAAATCCTTCTATGTTGACTGAGTAGACTGAGCATTCAGCTTTTGGCCCACAGTTTTCTAATATTTCTATTTTTCTTGCAGAAATTTTCGCTGTGATTGTGGAAACAGAAAGTTTGGGGGCTTCCATTGCCAGCTAAATCCTGTGAGACGCTTTGAATCTCTTGTCTCCCAGATGTGTTTGCCACGTGTGCGATACGTTCCAGTTGTTTCAATTGTTCATTCCCCCTCTTTCTTTTTAGGTTAAAGAAGAGGAAAATATTAGAAATCGCTACAATCACAACTTCAGTGGGTTCTACTGCACGTGTCACCGGCCGTACCCAGACACCGATGACCAGGTCCGTCTTTTTTGTTTGTTGTTGTTGTTCACCCTAAACCCTGCTGCTTGTTTCTCTGTCATCTGTGGCTATATATAAATAAATCTGTTTAACAGGATGAAGACGAGATGATTCAGTGCGTCATCTGTGAGGATTGGTTACACAGCAGGGTAAGCTTGAGAGGATTTTTGATCTGCATGTTATCGTTTCTGTGAGTCCTCTGCTCTTTTATTTATTTATTTTTGGCCTTAAATAGCACTTAGGCTGCCCTGTGGTTGAACCCGAGGAGCTTCAAGAGATGGTATGTGAGGCCTGCATGAACAAGGCTCCTTTCTTGTGGACGTATGCTGCCCACATCGCAGGTAACAAATTTTTTTGACTGTAACTAACTAGGCAGACATTTAGCAGCAAAATTCAGATAATCATTAATTCATCTTTTCCATTTAGTTCCGCCTGTGATCCAAGTGGGTGATGCCGAAGAGGAAGTAGAGGTCGACATTGAGGGGGAAGACCGTGAGGCTGGTCAAAGAAAGGACGAGGAACCGTCCTCTAGTGATGAGCGCACAGAACCAGAGGTGAGAAATGGTTCTGCTGTTTGCATGGATTCTGGGATAGTGGAGAACTAAAAATGGCTTTGTGCAAGTTAAAATGAGGGCAGAACATTACTTTACTTTTGACTTATTTATAATCAAACAATGGCATTTGAATTCAGATCTATGTTTACATGTTTATTCTTTTAGTTGTGTTCTCATAATGCATAAATTACATTATAAAAAACAAAACAAAAAATAATTTAAGTTGAAAGGAATCCATAATATATCTTGCTGTGTTTACCACTTGCTTTGCTTTGTTACTCTCCTATTTATGTTCTGGAGTATATTTTACCTTTGTCTATTTTGTGACCTCATTTGGAGCAACACTGTCCAACTTTTCTGAATGCCAGTGCGCCACTAGGTGGGGCTGGAGAGTAATGAGCAGACTATGAGCCAGACAGCAGGCACCAGCTCCTGTTATCGTGCTTTCCTCTCCTCTGGGGTAATTAGAGGAGAAATGACCCATGAGGCACAGCTTCCTCTGCTCTGTAGATGACTTTGGCCGGGCTTCACAGGCTAGCTTACTGTAAACTGGCGATTTTCATCGCCCAACCGTCTTACCGCGTCACTCGCAGTGAGACTTCCCCAGGATGCGTCTGCATTCCTGCATGAGTGGAGATGTTTCACCAAGCCCAGGTGTGCCTGTGCCTCTTGTATAATACAGTCACTCACCCCATCTCATTTGTGTCGTAGGAAGCTGTAAACAGGAGTTCCCCTGGCAAACGAACTCACGAGGAAATGACAGGCAGCCCTGCGATGGCTACAACGAAAATTGTGGAGTGCAAGCTGAAGGAGCTGCAGGCCCGCGGGCTAGAGAGGCTGAGACGGGGAGCGGTGTTCTGGCCTTACAGCTGGCGCGCTGAGCTTTGCACCTGCACGAGCTGCAAGGTGAGACAGAATTTCTAGCTCCAAGATTGTAATGTAGACTCACAAAAGCCAGAATGCTGCAAGTTATCCCTGTTTCTGAATGCCTGTCCCCTGTGTGCTGCATTTCCTCAGAGGGCCTATGTTGCTGCTGAGGTGCAGTTTCTCTTGGATCAGTCTGACACTATTCTGGCCTATGAGAAGAGAGGCTTGCATGAGCCCTTCGGGCAGCACCCACTGATGGCGCTAATGAACTCGATGGACCGTGTACAGCAGCTGGAGGTCATTTACGGTGAGGATAGGGAGGGAAGCCACGGGGTCAGTTGTCCTGCGTAAAGTGAAATTCAAAGCACTGGCGCATTGATGCGGCGGACTAATTAATCTTGTGTTCTTCCCTCAGGTTTCAACGAGCTGACGACCTCAATCAGTGAATTTTTAGAGCAGTGTGCCTCTGAAGGAAAGGTGAGAAGTGGATGTCTATGTGAGTCACATCTTCTTTCTTCTGCTCAAATCTCAGACCTAACACTTCTGTGTCTACATCAGACAGTCACAGTCGAAGCTGTACATCAACTCTTTGAGGAGCTGCAGGCCAGAAAAAGACGCAGAACCAGCGACGGAAATCAGTAACAAGGTGTCCACTCTGCTGCCACCGTACGCCATGTTCACGGGCTGTCTGGACTGAATGTGTCACCCTCCTCTTGAATAAACCGTTTTGCTGCAATCAATGTGATGTTTGAAGTTGGGGGTAAAAAAAAAAAGTTTTAGTTTCAAGTTTTTACTTTATTATTTGAAGGTTTGAGGTTCGTGTCATAACTGGGTTATGATGATGCCTCAACTTTAAAGATTGTGATTAAAGTTTACCTCACATAAATATTGCACACTATTACATTTGTGAACATACAGAGTTTGTTGAATGAACATGATTATTGTGTGAAAGTATGTAAGTTTGGCTGAATTTGATGCCATAATCCTTGCACTGCTAAGACAAACCGGTCTGTAAATGTCATGTGAAAGACTCACTGTGATGAAAATACTGACTAACGCTCAAAATAAAAGTACTAGAAATCTGCTGTAAGGTAAACTAAAACTTGAACAAGAGCATGCATTGGAGCTTTTTATTTTATATTATAAAACCAGATCTACTTTCTGATGGTTATTTCCTGCAAATTATGGAAAGAGTTTCAGGGATAAACCCCCCCCCTTTCAAGAAACTGTTAATGTTTTTATTTAAAAAAAAAGAAAAAAAGCTGAGAGCAATTTAAGTAGATAATGGACACAGAAGCACTGTAAGCATGCTGTTTTTTAAACTTTGGTAGGTTATAGAGCAGATGCACCTTTTCATATTATGTCAGACTTCTATTTTTTAACTTAAATATGTTTGCTTGTCTGTTTTGACCATGCCAGTGGTTTGCACTGTTGTCACACAGTGAGAAGGTTCTGGGTCAGCTGGCGCCTTTTTGTGTTCTCCCTGCCGTGTGTGGGTTCTGTGTCATTCGTCTGGCTTTCTCTACGGTCCAAAAAGCTTCTTAGGTTACCTGTTGGTTATAAACTGTTAGCCCTACAGTGGATGAACAACCTGTCAAAGGTGTACCCTGCCTCTCAGCCCATGACAGCTGAGATAAGCTCCAGATATGTATGGATAATTTTCTTTACTGTATGTATGTGAAGCCCTTTGAATCTGAATATATGATCATATACAAGCAAAATGTACTTGACATTTCAAGTGAACAAACAACCCATGTGAGATCACATTAATTCCATAATATCAAACCAGTTTATTTTGAGGATGCCCAAGTTGACCACTGTTATGCACCGTTTTGAGGCGACAGTAGAAAAATAGATTCCGTGAAACTAAATGCAACTTAATATCAGTCTACAAACATGGTTTCTATGATACCATACAGGCACAGTGTACCTGTTACAAATCAACACAAGCAATCACACATTTCAGATGGTTCAATTTCAAAAGGTGCTAAATAACACTATGTACACAAAACAAGCTACATGAGATTTCAAAGAATTATTTGATGCAGGCTGGTAAGCTGGTAGAAAAGAGCTTGCATAGACATCAAAGTCACTTCTCCAATAAAAGCCCAGCCGCAGGCAGGGGAAGGCACTGACTTCTCTACAGCAAAAGAGCAAAACAAGGACTTTTACTCAATGGAACATTGTCCTGGAAAATAAAACAACCACCCAACACGAACACGGGGAGGAATCTGGAGTTTTGCATTTTTTCCCCATGAAGCAACCAAGATGGAAAAATGATTTTTCTGCTTGGCAACTCTATCACTGCTAAGCATAGAGCTAATATCTTCAGATCCTCAACATATTCCTGTTACTTTTAAAGTAAAAGGAAAAAGGGGTGAAAAGTGTTCTACAAACATGGCAATCCACAGCACCTACTATATCAAACAAACTGCCCTAGATGCATAACATTTAAGAACAAAAATAGTTTCTGAGACACAATCTTTCTGTTTATACTACACATTCTTAGTGAGTTTTCATGACAGAGACAAAGTACACAGTGTTGTCCACTACAGTAAAAACACAGACCTTCAACGACCACTAAAATGTGATAGAAACCATTAAAAATTCATCATGTGGAACTCAATTCATTATATACAATTTTCATTGGAGATATGAGCCAGCAATCGCCAACTTTTCTTCAATATAAGATTCCTTTTGTTCGAGATTCATTTGTTCCTTTTTCCCTTCAGCTAATAAACAGACGGCTCCTACAGTGCAATGATACTCGTATGTGAGGTCGAATGCCAGCTGTCGGCTGTTACAGGTGTTGTGGAGCTACAGCTGCTGCGGCCCATTAACAGTATATTTAAAAGCATCAACACTGGCTCTGCACATCCACAATCTCCGACGAGCTGGCGAGATGGAGACATGGTTTAAACATTTGGGCATGGTTGAGCCCACCTCCGCCATCCAGAAAAGCTGCAGTGTCTGTGTATCTTTAATGTGGACAACAGTCAAATAAGCAGTTAACGGGGGTGGCATTATAGAGACATCATACTTGATTGAATAAAGATAGCTAAAAGTGAATATTCCAAGCGCTAGTTAAGGCTTTAGATTTGATTACTTACTTTGAAATGGGAGGAAACTAACACGCTGACGACCACTCTCTGCCAAACACTGCTTAATCATTTCAGACCTTGATATGTACAAAAAGACCCGACCAAACATGGGAGTGTACAGTACTGAGATTGTGTTAACACCTAGGTGTATCAAAGTTATCCTTGCACAAAGACACGCTCTCTCACACACACAAACACACACCTGGCCTAGCTGCAGATCCAACAAATCCCCAGCGCTTGATCTGATCGCTGTACAGACATTTTCAGTAGAATAAGGTCATCCACAAATGTCCTCTCTCACATGTAGCACACAGCAGGAAGCAGTCTGCTTCTGAAATACTTTGTGGTTTAGGCAGTGAAGCTGCCTGGATCTGACATCACACAGACTGTCTAATACCCAATAAGACTGAGTCAGGCTTTTGCGTTGACTTGCACCTCTGTTGCGTGATGTCTAGATAAATTCAGCGCTGCATGTGCGAACACGGCTTATGTCATGGCAACCTGATATTTTCCACTATATCTCAGTAATGAACCTGCCCATGATCCTCCGGCCCCGTGTGAAAACACCAAACTTCTGCCTTTAAGCCAGACAGTGAGGCTGTGATAGGTTACGTCTGACACAATCAGACGCGGTTACTTGAGACTGACAAGCTCTGATGGCCTACTTCCAGTCGGATCCAATTCCTGCTTTGTGTGACCAAACCTTGGCCTTTTTTTTTTTTTGTTAAACTCAACATTAGTGCAGAACCAGAGCAGGAGGAGAAGAATAGTCAGGTGAGTTATAGCCATGCTAAAAGAAGAAATGGAAATACCAGTTCTGGGAGGGGAAAGAACACTGACAGACATATTTACATATGATTTTATCACAATACTCTATTCCCAGACTGTGTGCCATTGTTCATTTATGTAAACTGAGATCTTTATCCTGTGATCTTCCCATTCTGTGCAAGAGACAAAAGAGCCAACCAATGTAATCTGTTTTCAACCATCATTTTATAACTGAGCTTCATCTAGTGTTGCGACTTCCTCACGCAGAATTCATGCAGCATAGAGCTAACCTCTTTCTTAAGAAATGCAAGAGACCAATCTGTCCACGGAGAGCCTAAGAAATCCTCTAAACCTGCGGGACTAGGCAGACTTGCATTGACAGCTAACCTACAGCTCTTACCATGCTGACTGCGTGATGGATAGCACAGTGTGATAGAGGTAGGACAAAAGGACAGATTCTATAAATAGCAACCATCGACCACCCCTTTTCCCTGCTTCTCTCAAACTCTCTCTCTCACAGACACACAGAGACACACACGCGCGCACACACACACATGCACGCACACACACACACACACACGCGCGCGCGCGCGTGCAAACATTTAGTGCTTTGCTATTCATTATGATGGACAGCCACTCATCTCTTTTTCCCTTTTCTTAACCCAACCCCTGGTCTTTAAACTGGGGTTAAAGTGCAGATTTCTTATAGGGGTAGTCAGGTTTGCTAGGTGACCTGCGGTCTCTGACAATCTCTTCACTGACACTGTTTCTGTGAGGCTGCTGGAGTGGCCCTGGGCCTGATGATTCTCCAGCTAGACCCATCTCTTCTGGGGTCTCTCTGGGTCCTGGGTGTCTCTCCTCATAGTTGTCCATATTCCCACTGGGGGACCGTAAATGGCCTAAGCCATGAGTCAGGTCTGTCTCATTTGATCGCCCCTTTGAAATATGTCCCATCCTAGGTTGGGCTCCAGAGGGGCTAGCAAGGAGACCATCATGCCTCTGAGAGGTTATACTGAGGACATCCAGTCGTAGTGGGTCTGAGGCAGTCCGACCCTGTGTATGGCCCTGGGACTGAGAGTCAGAAACATAAGGAGGAGGATAGGAGCTGGAGGCGGTGCAGCTGTGGCTGTAGAGGTCTGGTCCAGCAAAGGAGGGCAGTGGGTGTGTGGAGGTTGGGGTTGCAGGTCGGCAGGAAAAGTCATACAGGTCAGGGAACTCAGCTTGAGCTTCCAGTTTGGGCTCAGGAGCGTGTCTCTTGCAGGAGTGGCCATGTCCAGGTCCATAGCCATGGCTGAGGCGGGAAGAAGGGCAGGGCCCATGAGGCAGGTGGTGGCTCTGAGGGCCTTCCCTCTCCATTTCTGCCATGTGCTGCTCCCTCAGAGTCATGACCGAAACACCTAGCGCAATGTCAGGCATGAACTCCCTCATAACCGGCTCCATGCTCATCTGCATTGGAAAACAGATAAACATTTATGACAGAACCTGACAATCAAGATATTCATATCCCAAAGCATAAGCCGCTAGGAACATTTGACTCAACAAAAATAAATAAATAAATAAAAATAAAAAGCATGTGGCACAAGGACATGCACGCACATATACACACTCACCACTTGCTGGTCTGAAAGCAAAGCTCGGCCCATAGCCTGTGGGTTGGTGCAGTCAGGGGGCTGAGGCCTGGGCACAGAGGAGTAGTCTGAGCTGCCATGCTTGGTGGCTGCATGGCGCTGGATCAGGGTGCGGTTGCAGGGGTAGGAGAAGGAACGGGTGGGGGTTGGCAAGGGCACGCGAGGTCGCCACGCACCCTTGAGCTGTGCGTGACTAGGTGTGGCAGGGGGGTGGTATGGGGGAGGTGGAGGAGGTAAGGGAGGGTGGAAGCCTGCTACTCCTTCCAGCTCTGTGAACATGCTATCCATGGCTGGACTGCTGTTTACCCGACAACGACCCACCTGGCGCAGGGCCAGTATTGGACTCTCATCTCCAAACCTTTCATCTGGGAAGAACTTGTATGGATTCTGCAGGTAAAAAATAAAAATCATAAATCTCATCCTCCAGAGATCTCCTCCTCCCTAACCCTGGGAACACGCTCTGCTTTCTGCCTACCTGCAGTAGCTCAGTGGCTCCGTCTGCCAGACCAAACTCCCTCAGCACCCGCAGCTGCAGCTCATAGCTGACGGTGGCTCCCTCGCCACAGTTGAGGGCATACGCTCTCTGAACCTGCTCTGTGTGTCTTAGCTCATGCAGCCTCCGAATCATCTCCTTTACCACAGATAACTGAGGCACTGAAAAGTGAAAAAGAATACAAAGTCAGACATCAGAGTAAAATGACGTGAGTCAGTTAAAGTCTTCATAGTTTGAGTCTTAACGTTGTAATTTAATCAGGGTGCTCAGAGAATCCACTGAACGGCATTATGTTTACAGATACTTGAGCAATTTCTCTGTTAGTCAGCAGTTTCTCATAACACTTAAGTCAAGCATGTGCATAATCCAGCCCGGGGGCCAATCACGGCCCTAGGTCAGATTTTATATGGTCCCTTGCTCCTACCCTATAAAATGTATTATTCATGGCCCGCCACCACAAACAGAATTAATAAAGTGTCATTTCTCTTTTCACCTCATGGTAGCAGCACCAGTAAGTCATGTTTAAAATGAACCTGAGATGCTGATATTCAGCAGCTTCAGCAGATCCTTATGTTATTTTATTCTCGATATCTGAATGAAAGCAGATTTATTTTGTTAAGGTTCAAACACTTGATCACCATAATTCTTGTGTTATTGAAAATAAAGTGTTAAAAATTCATAATGTCTATGCTTTAAAAACAAGATGAGAAAGCTTGTTGGCCCCTCAATGATATACCATGAATAAATATGGCACTCTTATAAAAAAAATAAAATAAAATATAAAAAAAAGAAGAAGAAGAAAGGTTTGGACACCCCTGACTTAAGTCAACCATAACTGTGTAGCATCTGCGACACTGCTCCTACCTGGAATTTCATTTGCCACGACTGATGGAGCTGTGGTTGAGTTGCTTGCCATTTGCTGGTGGTTAATCATGTGACAACACTGAGGCACAGCGTTGTTGACCATGTAGAGTGTGTCCGGGACGTTGGACATGCGCACTAGTCGCAAACGCACTAGGTCTGTCTGCTCAACCATCATTTCATCAAGAACAGACTGAGGACACATAAAAAAAAACATAAGTCCTATGTGCAACTCAAGGACATGGGGAACATTTTGCAAATTAGTTCCACTTGACTGACACTTCATCTAATAATGACACACTGGTCTATGGATATGTCATAAATATTCATGGCCTCGGGAAGGCCTATAAGTTATTAGGAAAGTTTGCAAACGGACATAAAGCAAATTTCGGTCAGACTGATAGAGGCCACCACTGAATACTAAATGATTTGTATGCATAACAACAACTTGGCATGGGTAGTTTTAGCACGTCTGAGCTATAAACAGGTCGACAAATTTTACATTAGCCCGCACCCTTTACAGAAACTCTGCTCACTTTGGCGATAGCTATATGGGACACAAATATTCCCCCGGTTTCTGCCCTGTCTATAACCCCCATTAATCATAAATAAATGAACCTTACCTTAGCCTCCTCCACGTAAGGAGAGAAAAGGCGTGGACGCACATAGATGCCTGCATTTTTCTGACGCAACCAGGCATTGGCTTTACCCCCCTCAGCTGTGGGTAGCATGTCTGAAGGAGGGGTGCTTATCAAACCCCTTTTGAGCTGTGAATAGTGAAGAATGTGGATCAATGCTCAATCTATGAAGGTCACAATAACTCAGAAACACCAGTCATAAAAGCACAGCAGCTGAGAAAAGATAGATAAGTAACACTGACTGCGTCGGCGAGGACGTCACTGTTGGGAGGTAAGATGTGCTCTGTTCGGATGAAGGGCAGGAGCGGAGACAGGATCTCCTTCAGCTCCTCCACATCCAAGTCTCTCCTTTTCACTCCCCTCTTGTTTACGCTGTGGGCTGTGCCACTCAATAGGTTGGGTTCTGGGTAAACAGGAACGACCACGGTCAGATATTATAATGATTGTAATGCTTTTTGTGCGTCAACATTTATAGTCAGAGTTTATATACACACATCGTGGTAATTTTGGGTTTTATATGATTTCTTTAAACTGTCTTCTTCCAGGGAATGACTCTACAGTAAACCTCTTTAAAGACTTTAAAAAACAAGCCTTAGGTGCACAAATTTGAATTTATCTTGGGTTCTCTCTAATCTACAGAGACAAATAGCAAAGGCTTAAATAAATACATACAACCCCATTAATATTTAGTTAAATATTAATTTGCACGTTGCACCTCGAGCAGATGCTTTTTGTAGCCATCAACAAGTTTATGGTATAATCCTGTCTGGATATTTTACCCCTCTTATTGGCAGAATTGATTGAATCCGTTTAAATTGTTTGGTTTCCTGACATGGACCTAGCTTTTAAGCAAAATGCACAAATTTTAAATAGGGTTGAGGTTGGGACTTTAGTAGGCAATTCCAAAAGCTTAGCGTTATCCTGCTTTATCCAAAAAATGTTTTGATGTGTGTTTGGGATCACAGTCCTGTTGGAACACAAATGTCTCCAAATTTCAACAGTCTTTGAGATGAAGTTGAAGAATGTGGAGGTAGTCCTCCAAATTTTTCAATGTATCAGTAGCACTGGCAGCAAGACAGCCTAACAGAATGATGCTACTGACAACATACTTGAAAGCTGGTGTGGTGCTTTTAGACTTGAAAGCATCACATTTGATTGATTGATTGGTAATTTATTTCAACATGTGAACAATATACAAATACATTTAGAAAGAAATAAGAGAGAAAAAAAATACTATACAAATTACATACAAAAAAACATTCTGATTAATTTACATGTTGAAAGGGAGTGGGAAGAAGTATACACTTATTTAATCCCACCCCTGTCCCATAAATTATCAGTGAATATTTAGTCAGCTTCCTTACTGATATAATTTGTAATAAAAATAGTGAACAGATTTCTGATATACTATATACTATAATATCACATCATGAATTTTTTGTTTGTTTGTTTTTAAATAGAGACATTCACTTAATTTAAATATTTTCCTTTTCTTTATAGATTGAGAAGATCATATTTTTATAACTCTTTTTGAACAGTTTTATGTTTGGACATTGCTTTAATTCCATATTCAGTTTGTTCCATAGTTTCACTCCTTGAACAGAAACACAAAAGCCTTTTCTTGTAGTACGTACCTTCATTGTTTTGAAGTTACAAAAACCCCTTAAATTATAACTTCCTTCTTTCAAAAAAAAAAACATACTCTGAATATTACCTGGCAGTTCTTTATTTTTTGCTTTGAATAGAATTTGTGCTGTTTGGAATTTCACTATATCGTCAATTTTCAATATTTCAGACTGCAAAAATAGTGAGTTTGTATGTTCCCTATAACCTGCATTGTGGATGATTCGAATTGCTTTCTTTTGAAGAGTAAAAAGTGAATGTAATGTGGTTTTATAGTTATTGCCCCAGACCTCTGCACAATAGCTTAAGTATGGTGAAACCAGTGAACAGTAGAGAATATGAAGTGATGTTCTGTCGAATACCTGTTTTGCCTTGTTTAGTACTGCAATGCTTCGTGATACTTTGGAATGAATATATCTTACGTGAGCTCTCCAGTTAAGTTTTTCATCTATTATTACCCCCAGAAATTTATTTTCACTGACTCTTTCAATATCAACACCATTTATTTGAATCTTTGCATTTGTATTTAAACTACTATTTCCAAATAACATAAGTTTAGATTTATTCAAATTTAATGATAATTTGTTTTTATCAAGCCAGAACTTCACTTTACTTATTTCATTAGTCATATCCTCCAATAAATTCTGCAGATCATCACCAGAGCAAAAATGTTTGTATCGTCAGCAAAGAGAAACATTTTTAATACTTTGGACACTTTACAGATGTCGTTAATGTACAAGTTGAAGAATTTTGGAGCCAAAACTGACCCTTGGGGTACACCACAAGCAATGTCCATACATAAGGAGCAACCACCATTTATTTTCACAAACTGCTTTCTGTCACTTAAATAACTCCGGACCCAATCTAAAACTACCCCTCTGACACCATAACGTTCCAGTTTTTTTAATATATCAATTCAATTCAATTCTTTATTTATTTGTCACATGTAGTTATAGCTGGTACAACATACAGTGAAATGTTTTTCTGGCTAAAAAGTACTCCCCCGACTGTGCAAACATGCTAAAAGGATTTACATAAGCTAAGAAAAAAGGAAAGAAACAAAGTTAAAAGTAAAAAAATATATAAAAAAACAATGTAAAGTCATATGTTTGCTTATAATATATATCCATGACGTGCAAGATATTGCACTGTAATGAGTTGAATGAGAAGACTATGATCTATAGTGTCAAATGCCTTTGTCAAGTCTATGAATAACCCAGCCACATATTGCTTTTTGTCTATGGAATTTGTAATGTATTCTATTGAATCTAATAGTGCCGATGATGTTGATCTGCTTGATCTGAATCCGTACTGACTCTCAGTGAGTAGTTTATGTTTATCTATAAATTTTTCCAGTCTGTTTTTAAACAGTTTTTCAAGAACTTTTGAGAATTGGGGTAGTAGAGAGACAGGCCTGTAGTTTGTGAAATGGTGTTTGTTTCCAGATTTGTATAGAGGTATAACTTTTGCTATTTTCATTCTGTCTGGAAATCGACCAGTTTTACTTTTCTAAACAGCTTTGTCTTATGTGACCATAAAGCTTTCCTCCAGAAATTCATTTGGCTTGTGGGCAGCTACAAATTACAGTCGAGTTTTGAAGCTTCTTTTTTGGTTGGCACCCTCTAAGATGCAAAACGCTACCTTGTCGACAGTGACGCTGGTGTTGCAGCAGTGTCCAGTTCACGGCAGGCTCGAGCCTTGGTAGTAACGAGTTTCGTCTCATCTCTTTTTCTTCTTCCAGACATTAGGAAAGTGCTGACACATCTAAATAATTTTTACTTGAGTACAATTGTTTGAACTGGTTATCCTGGAATCTGCAGTCGTTTAAAAAATGGCTCCAAGAGACCTTCCCAACTTGTGTAACTCTGTGACTCTCCTTTTTAGATCTTCACTGAATTCCTTGAACTTTCCCATTGTTCATTGTTCCAACTACTGGTGATTCCAATAAGTGCTCAACAAAAATCCTTTTTATGGTGCAAAGAGAAACTACCAGCTGTAGTCAATTATCAACTTCTCATTATCATAATCATAATGAGAGGTTAATAGGGCTTGGCCTTGTCAACGTTAAGGCTACTGTAGAACTTTAAGCACCGTTTAGTAAAAGATTAGTAGGTATATTTCCAATCCAAAATAAATTCATATTTTTACCCTAAATTCTTGTTTTTTAAGTCATTAAAGATGTATGCTATGCAATCATTCCACCCTGGAAAAAGAACAGTTTAAAGAACTCTTCTGATGAGTGGATGTAAATATCTGACCACCACTTTAAGTATGATAACACTTTTAGTGCTTTTACATCAACCTTCTGGCTGCATTTCAAACCTTTCGCACAAGATCGTTTTGACAAATTATAGGGATCTTGAGGAATCAGGCTGCTCTCCCTTATAATATGAATACCAATAACCTTGATCATGTACCCCTCAGAAGAGCATTAATTATCACAGTAGCAACAATGACATGACAAATCAGATCGAACCACTTCCTGTTGAATTTATGGGGTAAAGTTTGGCTCTTTTTTGCTTTTAAGTATATTCACGAGGCTCTAGTAGGTGGTAATTTCCTCAGAGCAATTAGGGGGGCTGCTCAGAGGGTAATTATAGAGTGTATTATCTTACCCCTGTCTGCCATCCTCTTAATAAGCTGCTGCTCGCCCCACTTAACAACATACTTAAGAATGTCCTGTTCACTCGCCTGACAGAGAAAGAGAGATATAGGACAGAGAGAAAGCAAAAGACAAAAATATTATTAGGACAAGGTTAGATATTGTTGGGAACAGAACAGGGAAGGTATGACACGAGGATAAAGTGAAAATGCAATATGTTCAGGCAATGTCCCATCAAAGCTTGGGTCTGGTTTGTTTGGGTAGTTGGATTACAACACTTCACCTCAACCATCTGGTGTAAAGCCCAAGTTGCTTGGCAGTGCAGATGACAGCTCAGCTTTGATTAGGTTCTGGGTTTGAAAGAATTTCTCTCTAGGGAACTGTTTTTCAACTCTGGAAATTCTGGAGACTCAGCGTGTGCACGTGAACAGCGTCAGCACATGTGGACAGTGTGTGACTGGGGCAGGGACTGTGTGTTTGTATACAATATTTTCATGCAACTATCACAGATTCCCAAACACTGTGAGGTGCTATAAGTTGAGAGACGTTTCCTTACCTGTAGGTAGTCAGACTGAATTGCACTGAGAAGGTGTTCTTTGCCAAGTTCGTAGAGAACATCCGAAGTGACAACTTGACTGAACTCCTCACAGAGGAAGTGCATGGCCTGCCTATGGACCCACTTGGAGCCGTATGGTTGGGAGCTCCACTTGAGAATGGGGACAAGAGAGTCCAGAGACAAACTCTCCACAATAATGTCTTCACAGCCTGGGAGAGGCAACGAGACAGACAAGCAGAAATGTATCATATTCTGAAAAGAAGTTCATATATTGAAGTCAGAAAGATGTCACTTAACCTTAAAAAAGAAACACTACAACAACAAAAAAGCCTGTTTGAAAATGTATTTTAATGATTTAACTAAACAATTATTACAGTACGGCAAGTAACGCTGCAGCCTCTGCCAAACCATCAGTAGTTTTGACTCATATTCACTGACCCAGGGACTCTCCCTCTAGTAGCCCCCACATCCTCCATGCTGCGTTTCCTAAATCAGAGCACATACCAGAACAGCAGGCAGCGGCTTTACTCTAACACACCAACCCACAGAAATGCCTTTGATACCTTGATGTGTTTCAGTCTCAAGCTGCCTTCTCTTAACCGTGATAAGTAAACACAGCAGCTTGCGGAAATGTGCTGCCGGTGCACAAGCACACACTTTGCAAAGGTGTACACACAGACCACTTGTGTGCATAAATCAAAAATGCATTAAAAGCCACAGAAGGCTTAGGGAATTATGTGCCTGGTGCTCTAGTCATTTAAAAAAAGAACCAAGTTTTGCAAATTCAGCCAACAATGGCACTCAAACTCTTAACACTTAATCTAACACGGATCCATTTATGCAGAAATAAAGCCTCCATGTCCACTTGGATTAACATATGATCAGTTTGGTCAAGCCATCTATCACAGTTCCAAACGAGAGAGTCTTAGTGGCTCACATTGAAAGTTCTTCTCCGATCATTAACACAAAGTGGACATTCATGAAGATAAAGCCGACTGACTGATGTCCAGTCAGAGCTGTTCTGAAGGGAAATAAAAGCTTCCCAGCTTCCTCATTCCAGGCGGTCCTGTCCATCAGTTCATCGTTGGAGGAGCAGCGGCGGCAGCAGCAGCACTCCTCTGGGAAAATCTTAAACTAGAAAATCTAAGCTGCTCTTCCGCCCTCAAACCACCACTTTGAACATAAACGCCGGGAAATTGGACACCAGACTTCAGAGCGATGACCCCACTGATACTTCAGCTTCATATCCATGCAAGCTGTGTGTACAAATTTTTGATTCGAATGGAAAAGCAACCATAATGTACATGCACAGCTATGAACCCTTTGGGTGTTTTTGCTTGTAAATGCAAGTTCGAGAAACACAAAGCAGACGCCCGCAGTCTTTTCAGCTGAGGCTGCATCATTAAGACAGATGTAGCTGAAATGTGGGCCTGCATATTTTTTTTCTCCTTTTTATCTGCTTTAAACAGACTGAAAAACGGGAGAAGATTTCCAGCATCTGCCTCATTGCCCACTGCTGGTCGTTTTGCTATTCATCTTCTAGAAAGTCCTCCAGTCTAGTTCAATTTGATTTTATTTATTTATTTATTTTTCACCCTCCCCTTAAAGCAGACACACAGGCATACGTCCACAAAAGCAGGCAATTCCCCACTTGGGACCAGTGGCACAGGAAAGCAAACAGCTCTGCTCTCTGTTAGCCCATTCGAATTCTCAGTGACAGCCAGTCTTTTAAAATGCAGCACTTTTTATTATGAGGTGGAGATTAGAATCAGCATTATATCTAGTACTAACCCGCCTCCCCCTCTCCACGGGTGGTGCACCACATTCACTGGAGCTTAGCCGACTGACAAGAATATCAACAGAACAGCAGGAACAGCGACAGTCAGCTCTACACTACACCAACTTTGGAGTACGCATGAATTTTGTCATGCTGTCATGATTTGGAGCTCTGTGTTTATAGAGCACACAGTCTCCAAAGCCACTTAAAACATCAACTGCACTCAAAGGCATGTAAACAAGCATGTGGATGTAAATCATCTCAGCCAATCAGTCAGGAAATGGAGCTTCAGTCAAAGCAGTCAAAACACAAGATAGGGCACTGAAATCGCTGGTCGGTCAGAGAGCAAGAAGGGAAGGCAGCAATGAAACTGCACTGAAGGGCTATCATCTCTTCAGCGCGCTTGAAAAATTAATAAGGCTTTTAATACTGGTTACTATTTGAGTGAGATGTAGTCGTAAAGGGAAGCCCATCTTGAGAATTAATAAGGAAGAATGACAGAGAGCTCTACAAAAACCTCCAAGGGCCAAACCTCCTTGTAGCCGGAGGGAAGCAGCCAAGGAGCACGTAAAGGGGGATGACAGTGTGACAGATGAGAGGGGGCTCTTTCTATATGAAACCCCTGACATAAACCTCTCTGCTGTCTCCTAAAGAGACGTCGCAGCAAAACAGTTGGATGGCTTCTTACAAATTTCAAGTCTCATAATTAACCCAAATTAGGCAGATAAACACACTTTTCCAAAATGCACAAAAATATCTCTAGGAATGAAGTGATCTCAAAAAGTGTAACAACAGGAAGTTAAAGAGTAGAAAGAGAGACTTGGATAAAATAGCATCAGGTTAACCTAAACTATTTCACCACATTCCACTTTGAGGTTTGACGGGAAATGATTTGAGCTGTGCAGAACAGACAGAAAGGGAGCAAAGAGGGATAAAAATACCCCTCGATTAGGGGCTTGTTGAGAAGGTGGGGGGGTGGAGGGGGAAGACGAGGTGATGGTGTGTGGGGATGACACCATATGCCTCCTTGTTGCTGGCTTAAGCTGCCAGAATGACCCTGAGAGTGACACCCAAAGCTTGAGGGTGGGAGCTGGTGTCTAACCAGTTGTGTGTCCAGTGCTATTAAAATCACCACACAGGTCTTAAAAAAGGTAATCGACTCTCAAGCCTTCAGTCAATACAGCAGCTACACAGTATTGATCCTCTGCTTTTAAAAGATTTTAATACCAGCATGTTTATTGCAATAAAGTGCTGTGTGTTAAAAAAAAAAAAAAAGATGTACATGTATATTTTTTATTACTTCCTCTGTAAACAGAATGTGTGGTTTCCTCTTATCAGCTTAAAGACCCACACCTACTTTAGCACATTAAGATTATGACATGGACTATATTTGTATTAATGCTGCAGCATAAGTTTGGAGAGAAAAAAAAAAAAATCTGGCTACTCTATAGTGATCTCAGCTTTATAAAACAGTGTGCCAACAGAGCATATAGACTATGTTATATATCTGCAGCTGCCTCACCATAAAAAAATAACCTTTGAGCTACAGAGGAGTGAAGAATTGAAAGAAAACACTCACAGGCTTTTATTGTGAAACGACAGTGGTGAAGCTGTCAAATCGCAAAGTATATTTTAAATATTCTGGATGTAACTGTAAACGAGTGTCTTAAAATAATACTGGTTTGATTTCATTAGAAAGCACAAAGCAGTCAAACTCTCTGGTCTTTATAGCTTCATTTCAGTATTAGGCAAACTAATTTCCTATACTGTGACTATGAAGATCATTATTGGCCGAGAAGACACGATAAAGTAAGAAATTGTGTTTTGTCACTTTTGGATTCACACGGGCCAAATTCGGTAGTTTTGCATGTATTTGAAAAAGACTGCTTTAAATACTGCATACTTGAAAAGGTTATTCCGATTAAAGTGGATTTTTGTTTATTTGTGTTGGAAACTGCAAAACGCTCAGGTGCCACTTTGGAGGAAGTGCAGTGGAGGAAGCGACTGGCTCATGTAAAAAGTATGGCTTTAACCTTTGCTACCAGGGTCAAAAAAAGAGTGTAATCTGAGTAAAGATAGAGCAGAAATGAAGTGTTGACAGAAGCACCTCATGTAACAGAGAGTGGGGCTGTATGCCTCCAGAGGGAGAGATAACCTATATCAGCCTGTTTCTAACACCCGTCACAGCTAGAGTAATCTGCAGCCATATTAAGTGCAGAATATTAAGACACTGAGTCTGGTAAAAAAAATGACATGAATGCATGAAAAGAGACGTTATAGCAGGGTTGAGTTTTGCAAGGCATCAACTCACGTACAAAATTCTATCCTATTATGATAAAAGTCTAGCTCATATTATTAAGTTAATAGAAAATGACACAATTATGACAGGCTGGACAGGCAAATTGACTCTAAACCTTATGATCAGGCTATTGAACTACAGTTGGTTGCTGTTAAGGTTTTAAGCAATTTGTCGTAGAGACCTTGCCAGCACTTTGACTCATGTATTCTGCAGACAGGAAGGAAGAAATTACTTAGGAATGAAACTAAACAAAAAATTTTTGAGGCAGATTGTTTATCTGGGACTTTTTTTTGCTCATTTCCAGCTCCATAATTTTAATCTTGTACTCTGCTAGAATTGATTCACAGTTCGACATAATGATTATTTATATATCCGTATGTTATACTGGGCTGCTGTTCAGACTCTCTGCTACTATCTGAAACAAGCCCCTCTCCATTTAAGCCAACGTTCCTCTGGCTGGCTGCCCTTTAGAAGGAAGATTTATGGCAGATGGGAAGGGCTTCTGTCCTCACAGCCAGAGCTGTGTGCCCAACATGACCATATTAGGAATATGTCACTGATGTCACACAGAGCCACGAGTTAAAAAAAAAAAACAAAAACAAAAAAAACTGTATGAAACAAAGCATTTAGAGCAATAAGAAGCCGGAGCTGTTGGCTCACAGGGATTATTCACATATAAACCAACCCACATTGGCCATGTTTATTATGAGCATTGACTATCCTAATAGTATCAGTAAGACAGAAAATAAGCAAAATAAGTCAAAACAGAAAAATGTGGTTGCTATCACACCCTATGTTGTTGATATTGTGACTATGACTTACCTTGAGCCAGCATGCTAAACTCCAAAAACAGAGCAATATGGTACAGCTCCATGGCCTCTTCAGTGCGTGTGCTGGCCCCACGGCTCCCTGACACTAGGGCTTGCACCTCACCGAGGCTGCCTGCTGAGGGGCTGCCACGCAGCACCAGCCCGAGCTCGACGACATCCGTGTACATGCAGTGGAGAATAACCTGCACATATTTTCGTGGTATTATGGACTCATCCAGCACTATGCGGGTGGGTGTCTGGAGTGTGCGCTCTGTCATTTCCTCGCCTGTGCGAATACGTCGCTGCAAAAGGTTCCGAAAGAAAGGAGAGCGTGCTGACAGGATAGCTTTGTGAGCCCTAAGGTCCTCGTCTGGGGTCCCTGCAGCTCCTGGGGCCCCATTGCCTCCTTGACTCACTGATGTTGCTGCAGCCACAGCTCCTCTCTCATTACAGCTCTCTATCATTTCAGAGTCTGAAGAGAAGCTGAGCAGAGCGTCATAGTAGCACATGTAGTCAAACAAGCCCTTCATGTCTGCCTCCAAGGAGTTAGGTGTACCAAACTCCTCGCTTAGCTGCACTAGCACATCCACATTCTGAAGCCTCGTATCCTCTGCTCCACCCACCCCAAACTCCCCAGTGTACAAGTAGTGAAGTAGGGCGGAGAACATGGGAACATCAATGCCAGCCGTGTCAATGTCCATTAGAACCTCTGCTCCGTACCCGGGAGATGAAGACAGCAAGGTCTTAAAAAAGGGGCAACGGGGAGCCAGGATGGCCCGATGAGCTGGAAAACAAGTACCCCGAAAGATGAGGTCCACATCTGTGCAGTACTTGTGCTGGTAGAGAGCGGCTAGATCCCGCTGCAAGCTAGGAGCCTCTGGACGTGCGAGGCTGGCCTGGAAGCTCAGCTCCTTGAGGGCTGCCGTTCCCTCATACTCCTCCACCAGGGCGTTTGTGTCACGGACGTCCCACCCTGACAAAAGCTCACGCATCTGCCGCGCATGATCCGCTGAGCGGCTAGACTTCCTCCTTTTGATGAACCTCCGCTTGAGAGTCGCCAGACCAAGACTCTTCTTCTTCCTGTCTGCCGGCCGCTCATGGCCGTGCTCCAGGCTGTATAGCTTTGACTCCCAACCATATCCCTGCTGAGAGTAGGATGAGGTCCCTGGAATAAAAACAGCTGAAGGTTAGCCTAAAAATTATTGTGTTTTAAATACATCTAATTATAATAGAAAGAAATTAACAGTTTTACATTACAAAAAAATAATTAATGGTGGGTGGTCAAGCTTTCCCTTACACACACACGGCCCTTTTTACATTTTTTAGTTTTCATATTGGGAATTGTGACATTTAGTGTACATTCATAACATGTTTTAGGTTTACCTGACAGTCCTGTGACAAATGTGTTCATGCCCCCCCCCAAACAGCAACTATGGGTCCACAGTTTGTAAAAACGAAACAGTAAAAGGTGGTATGTACAGAAGTTTCAATGCAATTCAGCCACAATTTAGGCAGATAAACACCTTTTTCTGCCAGCTGAAAGACTTTCTATTCTTGGTTAAGCAATTTTCAGACACTCTTGCAGATCACTTCCAGTTCTTTTTTTTTTTTAAAGACTGTCTTACACAAATTGCATGTTAAATATACCCAGATTTTCAGTGATGTTCATGTAATGGGATTGTGAGAGCTCGATAAGGCGTCCATGGCGTAGACCATGTATATGGATCACTTCCATTTCTGTCAGCCCAACCTTCCTGCAGCTTCTTTTACCATCATATGCCCCCCTCCCTTTTTTTGCCCACCAGACATGTTTTTTTCCTGAAAGTTTTCTTGCTCAATAATATTTTGTTGATTTTCACAGTTCCCTTTAAATGCTATTTTTTAATGCCATTCTGGGCACTGGAAATTGTAAGCTGGAAGCACTTTGATATCTTTTTAAAGCTTTCCCCTGCCTTGTAGGCGACACTTGGTTTCATTTTCTCATCCTCAGTCTTTGTTAAGAGGAACCCACGGTTACTGAATCCTGGATATGTTTGAAGAGTCAGAGAATTTAATCAAAGAGAAAGTCCTAATGGTAATTCTTCTAAAAACCCCAATCAAATTCTACAAGTGGAGGGCTTCCACAACTTTTGCACAAGCAAGCCACAGTTATTTCTCAGGTGTTTATTTTCAATTTTTTAGGATCAAGAAATAAAATGAATTTGAAAAGAGGTTCATTTTAGAGCTCCTTTGCTGCAAGAGCTGTATTTGTTTCTTTTTTTTTCCTTGTTTCAAAAGCAGCCTGCACCAGTTTACTGTTGTATATCTGTGCCCTGCTCTATCAAGCTAAGGACACTCATGCCTGACCCAGCTACCAAAACATCTGGATCTAGTTCAACAACTGGAAAAAAAAGGAAGGAAAAAAGTCTTTATTTTTTTTTTCAGACCAAACCTTGATCATCACAGACCCAATTATAATCCCGTCCTACTTTAGACTCCTCCATCAACGTAGGTCCATTCATGTATTTATGCCCAATCAATTACACTGAATAGCAGTTATCTTTTGCTTGAGAGGCAGGACTTGTACGTCAGAGGAACCTCTGCCAAGGAGATCCTCTCTGCCTGCCTTTCTCTCAGGATCCATCAGTGTGACCCAAATAGTAATCATTCTAACACTGTGAATCATCTATGGCCCCAGCCAGCTCAACCAAGCAGCTACAGAGCTCAGAGCAAACGGGAGAGGTCTCAGGGGCTACTGAGATAATTTGGCTCTTTGCAGTGCTTTCACTTTGAAGTGGAAACCCACATAAACCCCAGACTTAAGTCATTCTGAAACTGAAATAAACACTTTTTTTAACTTAAGAAAAGACTTATTTAAATTAATCTCTGGAGCAGCTTTCCAAACGCTCTGGCACTCAGGACTGCAGGGAAAGCTTTAAGAGCCATAAACTAGACTCTGCCACTTTCTTCAACAGCAATCAAAAAGAGTGCTTAAATGTCGACAATATGTACATACAAGCAAACCACTACACTCCATGTCAGACAGGTTTTCTGAGGATACAGGTACTAACTGAAGGCCATATGCTATGCTCTTCAACAATGACAGTAGTGAAATTGGAACAAGACCAAAAGCGAGAGAGAGAGAGAGAAAACCCCCCAAAAAACCTCTTCACATTAAAAACTCAAAGTGCAGCTGTCAGCCCATTCAGGCCAGAAAGTAGGCTATAGTCAGTCACAGGGCTCGCTTCCTGTCTACAAGTTAGATTTCAGTTCTGACAAATAAATACTTAATGCAATTATTCGTCAGCCTTAAACAATAATTTAAGTCCATATGGCACAGTAAAGTAGATCCACTGCTTTTTAATGAATTCAGTTGTACTCAAACGCTCTGTTTAAGAGCTCTCATGCATAAAAATGTTCACCTATTGCACCATTAGTTGCCATGGAAGCAGGTTAATATAATGTAATGTGTATAGCAGACCATCCCATTATGTTTGTAGAGATATTTTTTAATCAAATCTGATTCTTGACTCTACTTTGGACATGAAGAGAAATTGGGTTTTTCACCAGTAATTCATCTAACAAAAGACATTTTGCCATATTGTAAAAATAATAATAATAATCATATACATGAACTGACCGGTGATGCACTTAATACCTATAAAAGTCTGTTGTGCCTGTGAACCTCCCCCTATCCGTGGGGAGCACGAGTGCGGGTAGCTGGATCCATTGGCACCCATCCTCGGTTCTCTTCACTTGCTATTTGGGGGTCCCCCCTCGTGCTGAGTCATTCTGCTCAGACAACGTATTCCTCTCAGTCGTCAGTTGCGGGTCAGGCACGGGTCCTCTGAAGCATCCTCAGAGCTCCAGGCCCAAGCTGCCATGGCTGGAGGAAGAACAGAAGGAGAGATATTTAAGCTTAAGAGTGACTGCATTTTAAATGTTGTTGACTGCAACATTGTGAGATTGGACTTTTTGGAAAGATAATGAATGTCAGTGTTAAGGAAGGTGAACAGAGGAGCACTTAATATTATCTATCGCGCCGTTTCAGCCACATTGATTTCACGGCACCGATGAATCATAGCTGTCTTGCCATTTTACAGGTTTGAAGTGCTAAAAATTGAGTTTTTGTGAAAAGTGAAAATTGCATGGTCATTCTCCTATCTATAATCTTCAACAGTGACTCCAGTTAACAGAGACTTCCCTATCCTCCCCTCAAGAAATGACAAGCAGTCAACTACAATGTAATCCAGATGTGGTGGGGGACTTTCAGAGGGAGGTACAACCCAGAACAAGTTACTCTGCTTTTGCCTGTTATCACCTTAAACTAGAAGTAGTCTAATAAATGATTTGGGTACTTTTCCAGTTCAGTCTGTAGCCAGTGAAAACTCTTTAGTGTAGATATGTTTGACTGTAGACTTAATCCAGTATTGTAACATATTATGTTATGGGGTGGGCAACAAATATACAAATATAGAACATAGCATAAACATAGCATAAATATGTCTCTTGACAGTGATTCTACAATACAGTTTATACAGGGGGGTGCTTCATTTTCAATCCTTCCTCTCCAGGAAGCTGATGAATTTATTTATCATGAAACTGTGGTTTCTTGATAAATAAACGACAAGAAAATGAATACAAACCAAACCAGAACTTTGTACCTTGCATTACTTTAAAGTATAGGAAGTCTAATACATGACCTGGGTACTTTTCCAGTAGCCAAACTGATCCAATGGGTAGCCAACATTTAGCCAAATCAGCTCCAGAGATGAGATTAACACCCGTTTTAAGGCCTGAGATATTAACACACATATACATCCACACACAGCCGGTCCTGGTGTGTATTTGGCACCCAGAGCCATTATGCTCGCATGGCTACAAATCAGTGTGGTCTTAATGAGGTTATACTCAGGTGGATATGTTTGGTCTTTAAGAATTTGATCAGGAAAAGTAATTCCCCCTGCAAATTCTGGTGGACGCAGCAAGTGATCAGCAGAACATTATAAAATAATAGCTTTTCATATCATTTAAATTATTTTCTATCATGATAAAAGAAAGATAATATATGATTGGATAATGGGTATTTAACTTCTATTTTATCAATGAAGGGAACATTTATGTTTTAGATTACACAAACCTTAACAGCCGACTTTATGCAAATCAGTTCTCCAATGTGACAAAAACTCTACCAAACAGACATCTGAGCACTCAGTTGGTTGTTAATTCATATGTTTGGGGGACCAGCTAATAATTCAAAGACAGAAGCTGTGCTGCAGATGCAGAGTTGAGCAGCTTTAAGTTGCTCTTTACAGTCATTACCATAACTTATTGCTGTGAGCCATGGCAATGGCCAAGCAGTTTTCCCTCTTCTCTTTTCGTGCTGTCACCAGCTATGATCTAAAAGAAAACAGGGCACCTCATTAACTGAGTGTACTGACGACTACTCAAGCTAACAATTGCAAACTGAGTCTATCTGGCTTCATTTCGACAAGCATGTAGACTGCAGTTATAGAGCTGGATTGAGGGGGTCAAGCTTTTCTTAAGATTTTGCACTCGTTACTCTTAAAATGTTGCCCAAGCTTCAGAAAGTCACACAAGCCCAAAGAGCAAACCAGAGAGCGTGCAGATGTCTGGAGACGTGTATGCCGGATATGGGAAGTATAACAGCGGTTGAAGTCTGCCCTTGGCTGGTGTGAGCAAAGCTTTAATTGCAATAACTTTTATCAGGATGTTATAAAAAACATTACAGAGGTGCAAAAAGTTGGAAAGACTTTAGGACTATTGGGGTTTTCCCAAGGAGGTTGAAATCCAGCAAAGACTTTACCAAAAAACAAGGTGGGATCATAAAAGGTCATTAAAAAGAAACAAAGGAAACTCTGTCATATAGTGTCCACTAAAAGAAAGACCACTAATCAAAACAGAAGAAAACTATAAGTCACTGCTCTCAGGGGAGCAGTGACTTATAGTTTTCTTTTTTTTCTCTTTGCGTTTCATTAGTTGAATCAGATTGGGTTTATCTATAACAGTAAGTTAGATGAAGTTTCGACTGCAGTTTATGAGTAGTCAATTCAGAAATGCAGGCAAATCCAAAGATTTTTGCAAACTACTTCTTGCAACCAAAGAAGAGGAGAAGATTCCCAATTTCCCTCTGCACTTACATCTTGGCATGAATGCGTCCCTTTATAAACATTACTAAGAAATTTGAAAATGTAATCCTCATTGTGGTCCTTTAAATAACTCAACACAAAAAGAGTCACGTATATATTCTCATTTAGTCTCTTTTGTATATTAGACCAAACTTAGAACTGGAGTGTGATGGGAGATCTGCTTTATCTCAGACTGCTGGTTTTCCTGCCTACCATACTAATAAATCATAGTGTCTGCCCCTGTAGAGAACCACTCCACAACCTCCCAAGGGTTCAATGGAAAACCACAGCCTCTTACTCCACACACAAATAGTCACCAGGCAGTCACACTAGAGCACTCCAATAAAAACATTGGTTGATCTTTATTTCATTAGACTGCTTTAAATAAGCCCCATCTTCACAGGGAATTAATTTGGACAAAATTAGAAATTGAATTTGAATATGTAGGAGAGAGGAAGCAGCCCTTGAGATATATACTGTCTTGTTTACAAAAAGGCAGCGGTGGTGGTGGTGGTGGTTGGGGTTCTCTAAGGAGCAGAGCAGAGGCAGAATAAAACAAAGCAACTAACGCATCCATTGAACACCACACCAACTTCCCAGCGAGGCGGCTTTAATTCATTCAAATTAGCGAACCAAATTTAACTTTAGCTGCAGTGCTGAATTCTAAAACCATAATTTAGGGCAGAGACCTGACTAATAATGTGCAAGAAGCATTTTGGCCATAATCTCTCTGATGTCAAACATTAAGACACTTTCCTGCAGTTTAGATTGAAACACTGAGGCGCTCTGTTGTTGCTCAGGCTGGGAGCAGAGGAGGGCAGTGCCACAGACGGGGGAAGGCAGACACCAGCCGAGCTGGACTATGCGTCCCTAATGAGAGGTGACAAGAGACACTCCCTGCCCCCACCTACCTCTACGCACACGCTGTCATGGACACATATGCACCCTATCAAACCGCTCACCTTGCCTCAGTCATGGATCACTTTTATGTTATTTTAACAATCAGCCAGTTAAAGGGGCTTAAAAGACAAAAGAACAGCCGTCCACTGAACATACAAAAATTACTTGGCACGCGAACAGGAGCGATGTATTATTCAAATGACTGTCAGGGCTCTTTATTAATCATTTATGTGGATATCCTCATCGTGGCTAGAGAAAACGGAAGAGGTGGGTACACAGGTCTTCGGTCCTGTACGCAAGCCCAAATTTTAGCAGCACATTTCTATTATCTCAGTGCAGCCTTTTCACAAGTCGTTTCCATAAACCTGAACTCATCTGCTGGAACACACACGCAACCGGCGTTTGAAGTCAAAGTGGCAGCGGTAATTAAGCTAGAATGGGCTTGACAAGATTTCGCCAAATTAAAGGTGATGTGGAGAATTACTTGGCTAGCATCGAAGATGAATGAGAATTTCCCATTTCATTCCTCTTCGGTAATTTTATAACAGCTTACTAATCTAAAAAGGCGCACACGTCTGTGCTCAAACAGCTTGAAGAAACCTGCGCGCTGTGTACTCTACTAGTCCCACTGTGAATCTTGTGAATAAAACTATGTCCGCTTTTTGATGGACGTCTTTGTTTGGTTCAGTGGCTAAATGCCCTAATCCTCTGGAAAGGAGCCAGTGCCACAGTCAGGCCTGAATGAAACACTGAAATACTCTCCCCAAACACTTTCCTGTCTGCAATTACACAGCAGTGTCATGCATTAAAGCTCTCACACACAGAGCTCTTCAATTTAATGTTTCCAAAAGGTATTTTTATTAGTCCAATGCTGACATATGTGTGTATCCATTTCACAATAGGAATCACAGAAGAAACAAAGTTTATGTTTCTGATTCACATACAACAAGAAAAACAAAAGATGCCGGCTTTGGGGGATGAAAAGAAGTTTTACTGTCACAAAACCTGTTAAATGACCTCTGGGGTAAGTTGCCCATTACGTCTTTTGCTTACAGAGCTGTGCAGAAATACAGCTTTCAGTTACAGATTGTCTGACTCTTTTGATATTTGATACAATCAAGGGTGCTCTGGAAGGTCATAAAAAAGCAATGCAGCAGTGAGCAGAAACCAGAACTCTCTAACACAGAGTGACCTCCATGGCACTGATGTGTCTGCACACATCTCGCAGCAAGATACCCGACTGGAACAGCCACCGAAGGTTGGTGGAAAACAAAATAAAGTCCGCCCTTTTAAAATAATAGTCATATTTTGTCTGAAACGATAACCGGAGAACGCAAATTCAGAGGCAGAGCAGACCGCTTATGCCGACAATGTTTTTTGCCAATCAGGTAAATCAGCATAATGTTGTGTCAGGCCATTCAGCTGATTACAGATTCTGGCAGGAGAGCCATGGGAACCTAAGGAAAAATCAGAACAAGCTAGAAAACAGACAACACAGTGAAATGACAGAAACGGAGAGAGGAAACAAAAGTCCCCACGATGATGACTCATGGTGAGCAGCCTCAGGATTAGCCTGTGTCAACTAACAATATGAACCGTAATGGTGCATATTTGACATTTCACTGAGTACGCTGTCAGCTGATTACGTTTTGCTCTAGAGGCCATGAAACAAAATGGCAAATATCAAACACAGCTACCTCAAAGTTAATTTGTTTTCTTTCAGACCTTTGATTTGAATACATGATGGCAACTTATCCAACAAACACTGGACAGATGAATGTCATCCTGTAGGTGTGCTTGCAATGGAAAACCGAACAGAACCATCATGTGAAGTAGGCATACACTTAATGACTGCGCAAACATAACCCAGTTGTCGATCTTCAGAGAATGAATGGCAACTCAGGACACAATGGGTGCTTATTTTGAGTGAGATGTCAATGCTCATTGTTGGGTTCTCCATCCAACTGGCCAGGGTAAACAGCATTCAGGGTAAAGTGCGGCTGACTGAGTGGCAAGTATTTGCAAGCTCGCTGCCTTTTCATGCCAGTCATGGATTTCTGAGCACTGTAACACTGATAATTACATGTCATTATACAGCTCTGAAGCACTGACACAAATACTTAACCCAGCGAAATGGTAAACATGAGCACTAAAACGCACGGGGAAGGCACCTTTATTCAAGTGAGGAGCTGCAAAGACAGACAGGCTGCATTTTAGAAAAAGATGGAGTTAACGGACTGACTGCTGAGTCTACCCGCAATTTCAGTGAGATTACCATGGGATTATCGCAGACTGCATATGGCTCCTCATCACTTACATGGATGCTAATGCCAACAAACATCACATACGTTGTTAGGAAAAAATCTCGCTACAGCAACACTAATTTTCTATTGGATGGGTTAATGTCAGATACCTACACAATTCAAAGAAGTCATTGGTATCTAAATCTATTATGGTAATAATTGCATGACTTGTGGAAATTATTACAAGACCTAGCCACGCAATAAGTCTTCATCTTTACACAGCGGCTACAATTGCGGTTTAAGCTGTCCCCAAAGCTCAGTCTGTCAACTACTGTGTCACACAGATGCAATAATCAGCAACATGTAGGTTTTTCTCCAAAGTGACACAAAAATCACACTTATCCTGAACTTTTCTACCAATCCAGCCACACGCAAAACGAAAACAAATAAGAGCAGTCTTCTCCAGCCCGTATGAAAATAAATCTAATTATTTGCAAAGGCTTTGTTAGCCTGCCGTTATCACGGAGCTATTGTTGCTCTCTGGGCTACCGCTGCTCAGCGGAAGCTTTGGTTAAAAGTGCCTTTAAGAGCAGAGAAAAAAAATAAAATTAAAGCGGATTGTTTTTCGCGGCTGATAAATAAAAAAGGGAAGTAATGTCCAAATTGTATGGCGACAGCCCAGCAAGAGGAGTCATATTCACCACAGCCCTGTAATTAGTAGCATATCCTAAGAGGCTAGGGTAAGCTATCTCTGCGGTGTCGCTTTGACTTCAGCCCTCGGAAATTTACTTTGAGCAAGATGAGATGCAACTGTTGAAAAGCGGTCGTTAAAAGATATTTACCAGAAAGTGAGGAGCTTCGCAGGCATTATTTTTTCTTCGTTTCCCCTCGTAGTTTAGGCAGCACTCCGATCCAACTTGTCTCAGGCAGGGAGAGGGAGAGAGAAAAAAAATGCAGCTCAACACCTTCTTTTCCCAACTCTGCTCATTACGCACGGCTCGACGTCAACCTTTGGTCTCTAATGTGCAATAGTTTCCACTTGCATCGACTTTCCGGTGATTTTTCAGCATCTACCTCGACTAAAAACTAAACCCAGACCGTTTTAAATCTCGGTTCGGTTCGGTATTTCCCCTTAGTAGCACAACGCCTTGTTGGGTGGTTGTTATGGCCTATCCCAACGCTACCCGTTTCAAGTTAGCCAAAATAAGAAGGAAACATCCGGTCATGTTTTTCAAAATAAAACCTTCAAACGCGAGAGTTTACTGCATTTTCGTTGTGCAGTAACTTGCGACCCAATGAAAAAGCATTTCACATCCCGCGTTTGATATTCAAATTTTGCACAAATTCTGCAGGTGTCGAATAAATTTAAAAGGCACACTTTGCTCGTGCTCTGAAACGTCTTAATTTTGGAAGTAAAGTCTATCTTTCTTTGCGTTTAGGTCAACTTAACACTCTCATTGCTGTATGCCGACTGTTCAAGAGGCCCGTCAGTACTCACAGCAGATTGTGCAATATACCGTTTGCGAGCGCCCTCTAGCGTTTAATTGGTGGCAGTAGTCAGAAATGGGCTACGTACGTGTCACAATCATATGGTCAAGATAGTACTTCTCAGCTTCCCTTTATGTTTTATATAACTGATGACATTGTCAGTAATTCTGCAGGAGAATCGGGAGCTGTGACGAACAGCGGTATGCAATTTTAAGTATAATATTATAGAAAATGTTCCAGACAATGCAACCCAGCGCATGGTTTGTCTATTAACCTTTCCCTCTTTCATTTAGAGGCAGACCTATGAGATGACTTTACTGTGATGCAGGCTGCACCACCAATTTTCGCCTTGATTATTATGTTAAAGCTAACGGCAGCAATGCATCTTTGCAATACATACACGTATTGATCCCTTAACACTGTTTGATTTGGAATATTTTTCTTATTCAGTGTCGACTATTGTGTGAACAGGTATATGCTAGTAGTAAAGACTTCAGGGATAAAGTTGGTTCTGTTTTTTCCCAGCTAGATCTAGTTCTTACTGCATCCTGTTGAGGGCGACAGAATACATGTAATGTGAGTGCCAAAACCTTTTTGTATGTACACTATAGGTTTCAAATAACCATAAACAATGGACACTGTTTTATTATTTGCATCGACTTGCCATGTTGATATAAATCTACAATTACCCTGCAATCACCCCGAGTAAGGAATTAAAAAGGAAAAGCCTTAAATGACAAAGTTAAGCAATACATGCCTTTGGTTTTATTCAGGCAGTCTGTCCTCCAGTCTATTAAATAGAAGGACAGAATAGAATGGAACAGAACAGAAATACAAGAGATTTACTCAGACATCTGGATAGCCCTGTCTTTGTGTTGACTTGTGAAGACTATCTTTTGAAGATTTTTGTTAAGTGGTTCTGGTTCAGATACCATAATATTTTTTTTGAAATGACAAAAATTTCTATCTATATATGGAATTAATATACAAGTTGTGTAGTGATAGTAATACAGTTATTGATAGCTAAATGTTCTCTAAAAAGCCTCTGGTTAATCCACTGTTAAATCAAGAATTGACTCTAAAATTATTTTCCTCACAGTGATCAGGCCACATCATATCTTTAAGACCTCATAGTATCATATTATCCCAACAGAGCATGTCACTCTCAGACTGCAGGTTTACTTGTGGTTCGTTGAGTTTTTAAAAACGAGAATGGGAGGCAGAGCCTTCAACTATGCTGCCCCTCTCCTGTGGAACCAGCTCCCAGTTTGGATTCACGAGACAGACGCTGTCTCTACTTTTAAGACTAGACTCAACACTTTGCTTTTTGATAAAAGGTATAGTTGGGGCTGGATCAACAAACCCTAAACTTTCGCTTAGTTATCCTGCTATAGGCTCAGGTTATTACTGGACTTTATGTTTTCTCTTTCCCCTCACCCTCAGTTGGCTTCTGCAGATGGCTTCCCCTCCATGAGTCTGGCTCTGCTAGTGATTTCTTCCTGTTTACAGGGAGGTTTCCCCTTCCCATGGTTGCAAAGTATGCGCTCATTGGGGGTGGCTTGAGGTTTTCTCCAATACTGTAGGAACTTTATCTTACAAGTATAGAACACTTTCAGGTGATTATTGTGGTGAGCTGGTACTATATATATATAAACTTGAATTAAATTGAATGCTGTTGTTGTATTATCAATATTAATCAATATTTGTTACATGGATTATCAAAAATCCAGCAAATGCATATTACTTCTTCAGCACTCTGTGTCCTGTGTACTTTCTAGAGAGAAAAATGTTGTAAACAATTGCCAACAATTGATCGCTGTGTTCTTAATTTAGGACTTTGTGTGCTTAACTAACGACTGTTCAGCATTAAAAAAGACACCTTGTGTGCTCATTCAGGCTCGAAATCAGTGTTTTGTAACCAATATTTCCCCCTTTCAGTCCACTTTAATCTTCAGGCACACAACCAAGACCGAATTTGCTGTGATGAGAACTCATTCTGTATGTTTATACAAGTGTCTTTGGTCCATGGAAGTAACTCCTCCCTGGAAGAGTGATGGGAATTAGATAAAAGTACAGGCTATCTGTCAGTATCTCACAGGATGTGAGGAGAAGTTTCCAGAGACACATTTTTCTTCTGTGAACGAGATTTACTGTGAGCTGTCTCAAGAAAGATGTCCTTGCTTTTTAGGAGACCCACACTAACCAGGTTGCTGCTGCTGAAGAACATTAAGCAAAATCAGAGGTCAACCATCTGCAGCAAGCCACCCAAGGAAAAGATTGGGCCAGTGGTAGGACTGACTAACTTTTATTGTACTTGTAATTGAACAGGCAGACATCCTTGAATATCTACACTGTATAATGTCCTGCAACAAAAGCAAGAACTGCAGTAATATTTTTCCTGTACTGAATGGATGCTAAACCACAAGTAATGCCATTTTAGGGACTATGGTGGCATAAAAATGCAAACAATATAAAATAGTCAGTCATTGGAAGTCAATGTCTGTGATGGTTCAAATGCCCTTAATGCGAAGAATTCAAGCGAACTGCATTCCCCAGTCTGCAGAGTGGAAGAGATGTTTTATTCATTTGTTATTTATAAGTCAGTGCAATGCTCTGGCCTCTGTAAAGGGATCCTATGATGGAACTGCAGCATAGCAGGAAGTGTTTATGCCACTATAAATCTGTTGATCTGTCCTAAGGGACATCCATAGGGGCTTTTACAAAGCTCATCCCAGGTTAGGAATACCATGGTGGAGAGGTACAGAGAGAATATTATGGCAGGAAAATATAAGTGGGTGGTGGCGGTGAAGTTATATCACGCAGTGAGTCACTAAGACTGGGACCCTCTGTCGTGTTCATTGGCTTAGTCCTTTCTGTTCAACTTAACATATGAAAGAAGATATTTGAGAGCTCAAACACTAACACTGCATTGAATGTGTATTATAACCTTTCATGTAGATTACATTTGCAGTGTCTGTGAATAAAACACTCATGGTTATATTTTATTGGACTTTCTTACAGCAGTCTACCTTTGCCTTATGCGTGTTTGCTGTGACTCTCCTGGCCCCGGCTGGTTGGATCATGCATCATATCCCAGAATATCGAAGACAAGGCCAGAATACCTCAACATGATTGATTTCTACAGGAACTCTGCAGACAGACACCCAAGCAATGTCACTGTGTGAACCTCTCTCCACTGTGTAAAATCTCGTGAAAAAAAGTAAAACCTTTGTTAAATCTGAAGTCTGACTGAGCTATTTTCCTATATAAACAGTTACATATGATAACTATTGTGTATTTTATTTCTGAGATTATTGACTGTTTTGAGGGTGATATATAAAAAAAAGACAACATTTTTGCTTTAACACACTTTGAGGATATCATTTTCATCAGTTAGGAGTATAGACAAAATTCTTGGCAGAAACCATGATGGGAAGGGTCTGTCAGGACCTCAGACCGTAGGGTCTGTTTATCGTTCACTCCTGCATCTACTAGCGGAAGTGCCGCTTAAATGAGAAATGCTGCATTTAGACACAGGCTTAAGTATTCATACACATGCACATTTATAGCTCGAAAGTGTTATTGGATAACAATGTACTCTTTAAAGCGCCCAGCTGATAGTGGAGATTAATATTAATATTACTAAATATCAGTATAAAAATATTAGGACACGCTGCCAATCCACGGTGGCCAATATGCTGTATTTATATAAAATAGGGGAAAGAAAACCCACGATGTTTTCTCAAGGACATGTTTAAGAAGGTGTGACAACCATCTGTTGCATGTTTAGCATTTCATGCATTACAAATACACACATGTAAAGCATCACTGAGGCAAATAAGCGGAGGTGCTTAGTATTTCCCTCCTATAATCAGCTCAAACAGGGTTGTCGGAATTCTTGAATGACAATTTGTCAAAGCCGGATCAGTCCATTTGGAAAGGTGTGGTGTGTCACATATATGTCACCACCCATCTCTGCAACGAGAGAGCAAAATCCCCACCACCACCTCAAAAAATATATATAAAAACGATTTACAAAACAAGCCCTCCCTTTATTTCCGTTCAAAGATCGCAAAAGCGACCGAAGCACAGCTAAAACACCACAGCGTATAAATCCGTCGTGCAAAGTGGTACAATCAAGACGAGCCTGGGCTGCAAGGGGGCATAGTCACTTTTTCACGACTGAGGGAAACACAACGCCGGGAAGGGAAAAACCTATCAAAACAACTGACAGTCTGGGTTTTATGTTTCCCCAAGTGTCTGCGAAATGTCTACGAAGGCAGAGCAGTGTAAGTACGGCTGTGTGTATCCGTGCGTGCGTGTTTCTGTTTTGTCTTGTGAGGGGGCTGGAAACTGATTTTTTTTTTTTTTTTGGTTTAACCAAGAAAGCGAACAAGGGGAGCTGTCCTTGGTGATGAAACCGCGGTTGCCAAGGCAGGTTGCAACACGTCCTCTCACTGCAGAGGATGGCTGGAGGTCTCAGTGCACACAGAGAGCCACTGAATCACCCTCTGTTTCTCTGCATGTTGATGGAACAATTCCATGTCCGAATCGCTCTGTGGTCCGATTTATTTATTTCTATTTTATTTGATTTTGATTGACGTGGCTGGCTGAGGCGCGTGGGAAAAGCGAAGTGTAATGTTGGTCTCAAGGTCGACCTGACAGGCTACTGAACAATATGGTGGCTTCATATTGATCAATCGTGGGGTCTGATCACACTATATTGACGTCTGTTGTTCATTCCACTTCGCTGGTTGTGAACAGGTGGACACCAGCCGCTGTCTTCTGTTTTTTTTTATTTTTTATTTTACCGTAAACAATAGATAAAAGACGGGGTCAAACTCAGTGTTAGGGGTTCCCAGCCCCATCAGCTGGTTAAAAGTTGGGTGTTGCTCCTGTTGTTTGGTAGACAGTAAGTGAGGGAATGAACAGAAAACGCTGAATCTGCTGTTGTGACTAACATATTATATATCGTAGCTCATACATAATGCTAATCATTGACTATCAATGACTTAGCAATTATGATAACAAATATATAACAATATTATTAAAAGGTTGAAAAATATTTTAAAAAAAAAGTCCTATCTTTCCGAGGAGGTTTAATTTTATGATGAACCGGAAAGATGCTGTGCTTCAGTATTTATCGCAGCACATGCTTTGACCAGACAATCCTCCAAGCCTGCAGCTGTTATTTTTATTTTGGGGTTTGTCATTTACAGGTCAGGAAGGAAGCTAAACATTCCTGCCTAAAGTCACAGAAAATGGGTCAGCGATCACCCACTTCAACATATTTGAACTCCTAACAACAAACAGCACAGTCATATCTGAACCTACAGAGATTACTTCAATATAGTTCAGCCAGCTGGGCTCATTACAGAAATGTTCCTCTGTGTTGCTTCTTAAGCCCCCTTTCGTGTTCGCTATAACCACATTTTCCCAGCTTGTCTTGGGACTTGAACTGGCAACCTTTCGTGTGTGAGCTTGTTTCTGTAAGCAGTAGGTTACTGCCTCCTCTAGGGCTTCCTGTGACCTGCTGCTATGACAAAAAGTCACCCGGTGAAGGCCAGAGAACCATGGGAAAACAGACTTTTTGTTTAACTTCATAGCTGAAGGATTCATGTTAAATGCTACCTAACAGCTTGTTCAGTTACATGATATATGGCTTTGCTGTCGTGCATCATATCTCACTAGTGTTGATTTGCTTGTTGCTCTGCTCTTTATTTTGTCCAGTTGCCTCTAAGATACGATACTTGCAAGAGTATCACAACCGTGTGCAACACAATATTTACCCAGTGCCCTCCGGAACAGACATTGCAAACACACTGAAATACTTTTCCCAAACCCTGCTCAGGTAAGTACCCTGCTCTGGAGCCACCAGGTGAAGTAAAGATTGTAGAATGTTTGATATTAGCTTCCTTCACAATCAGATGAGATTAATTACAGCAGGTCGCTCTGACACACTTTCTCAAAGGCATGACAGTGACACAATTCAATGTCTCGTATCAATTCATAATGTCAGCAAGAAGTTAGGGAAGTGGCCATCATGGCAGATGTTGCCTCGCCTCTTCTGCTCTGAAAGATACAGACTGTAGCAGATTTCCTGTGTAATTATGGTGTCGTCTTTTTAAGGCAGCTGCGGAGATAGATGGCTCAGTGATGTTTATTGATTCAGTGGTCGGTTGCTAGATGAACGCTTTCCTGAGGCGGTTTGCTGTGTCCTTCCCAGAGGGCCTGGAGTTCAGCTCCTCCGGCTATGCAGTTGCAGGGTCAGCCTGCTCTCTTGGGTGCTGTGAAGGGAACAGCCTGTTATTTCCTCTTCCAGCATAGGTCAAGTAGGCAGCCATTTTGAACACGTCTAATTTAATAGAGCACTATTTCCTCTTTTTTTTTCCCTCTCTGTCCAGTTGGAGCTTCATTTTTCCAGACATGCTCTGCAGAGATAGGATATTTCTTGTGGTTCCAGTATTACTACCCGCCAGCTTCAGTGAGAACAGAGGCACTGTCTTTTCTTATTAGCTAATTTATATAAAAAAAAATGGTGGGCCTCACTTCTATCATTATTATCAGCTTAGGGTGCAATCTATTTGAGATTGGCTGCTGGCCTCAATTCTACACAACTCCTCAGCCATCCATAAGGATTATTCCTCTGCCGTGGTGCTCACAGAGTATCCTGGATACTCCATACTTTGCTGAAGGGCTGTCCTGAACCAGTCACTGGGGTGTTTCAAATGTAGCCTCTCAGGGCACAGATTGAGCGTGACAGGGGTGGCAACTCTGGGAATGGGCATTAACTCGAGTGACGATTGTGCCTCTGCGGGGCAGTATCAAGCGAGCGAGAAAAGAGTCACTCAATATGATGCCACTGTTAACGGTTCTTTGATATTTTCCCGAAGCACAGTCTCTTAGCCTCAGATATGCAGAACAAAATCACTCTGCCCACCATTAGAGGAGTCTGGATTCCTCAGCAGGGACTCCAGGATTATCCATACACCTGTGCCTTCTGAAGCCCGGGGTGAAGAAATAGAAGAAAAAATCAAAAGGGAGAGAGAGTGGGAAAGTGGGAGTAGCGAGCCTTGAGAAGTGGAGCAGGCGTGTGTCATCTTCGCAGAAAAGAAATAGCCAAAGGAGGAGGTTGTTGATTCATGCACAAATTTCAGGTCAGCTAGAGGGTTACGTTATCTCTTTACCAGCAAGTTTTATACGCGTTCTTAAAGATGAGGCACGGCTTCGTCAGACTGAGCTCTCTGTATCAGTGAGCACTGACGTTGCAACAGACTGTTTAGCCATTATTTCAGACACAGCACAGTTGTTTCACTTCACACACCTGTCAACATGTTAATGCAGGAAACATGTGCTTTGAGTAACTGATACACACATGTAGTCCATGATTTTGCAACGACAGCGCAGGGTTTGACAGTAAATGTATGTCATGTGTCCGTATCAGTGCATTTCTACATGTGTTTTATGTGTCGTTTGTAATTTTCTCGTGTCGTTTTGTGTGTATGTGTGCACATATGCGTGTGTCTTTGCGTGTATATGTTCAGTGTGCGCGCGTGTGTGTGTGAGCGCGTCTGATGTTTATGTCTATGTTCATTGTTCAAATTAATGATGTTTTCTATATGAAATATGGGCAGTGAAAAAGTCATACTCTGAGATACAGTCTTGTCGTTGTCTATAAGTCCTGTTTGAGTTTATGCTGTATAATAACACAGCTTTGATTACATAGTTTAATGAATCTACGCTGACTTAAATCCTACAGAGTATAACTTTGAGGGGATCAGTCACATGATGGTACCTTATACTGTTCTTATGCCATGTTAAAAATCTGAGAAAAAAAAAAGAAATCCCCTTTCTCACTTGCCATGTAACTCCAAATGCTGCAACTCTACTTTTTGAGTGACCTTTAAAAAAAAAAGAAGCCAAAAAAAAAAGCAATACATCAACATTTATAATCTGGGCTCTCATGGTAAATCCCAATCATTTGCCTGATAGAACAGCTTAGCTCTTTAATAATGTGCAGTAAAAAAAAGAAAGAAAAAAAAAGAAAAAAAAAGAGCAATGCTCTCTGGCCCTCCCCCTCCTCCCTCCTCCACCCTAGACGCTCCACACTCAACCCGACTAGTTTTTGCTTTTGTTTTTTTGTTTTTCTCCTCTTTTAAAATTGAATATGTCCACCACCTTTCCCCAGGGGACAGCAAACACAATTGTCCATCCTGCATTAGCTCACAAACATAATGCTACCAGTCATCTCCCCCGATACAACCTATTCCTTTGTCATTATAGTTTCTCCTCTACTGTAGATTAGTTGTTACATTTATTTTAGAAACCTGAATCCATATGCCTGTTGGATCTCATTATTTCTCCTGATGATACTGGTACAGTATCATAATGTATGCATACAGACATTATTTCTCTGGTGCAATAAACATGTGCTGTGACCTAAGAGCACTTGATCTAACCTCACACACATGTTTATTACTGGCTGAAGCATGTTTCAAAAGTGTCACCTCTGTATTTTCCCGAACCAATTTGGTGTCACTCCCATCCTTGACAGCCCCACTAAAGACAAGGAAATTTCATTTGGAAAATATACTGTTATGGCTCATTGGCCTTTTTTTTTGCATGGTAGCCACTGACCTTGCCGATTGGAAGATGGCAGCCATCGAGGGACAGCCGTTTGAGCTGTCCCTTTTTGGAGAAGTATGGGGTTGCCACTGAAAACATGCCATTTTTTATATTTTTGCTCCTTGTCACCAGATACGCATGAGATGCAGTGATCATTGCAGTTTGTGCTCATGTTTTTTTTGTTTGTTTTCCAAGTGCAAAGATAGACAAAACGAGATAAATTCAATTAAAGTCACACGGAACAGACAGCGCAGGGAAAAATTGCCCGTGCCTGCAGTTATACAGTTAAATAGTGAGACACTGCATCCTATGTGGGGTTTATCTGGGTTTGTTTTTTTCTATTTACGCTGTCTCTGTAGTGCCATTTCAATGTAATGTGCTGTTTTTTTGTGTCTTTGTTGTCTCTTTTTTTCCCTTGTTCCCCTCTCCTACCTTCCCTCCCCTCCCCTCCCGCCCCGGAGCAGCATTCTGTCCCGCACAGGCAGGAAGGAGAACCAGGAAGCTTCCAATTTGGCCGTGCCCATGACCATGTGTCTTTTTCCTGTGCCATTCCCACTCACCCCATCTCTAAGACCACAAGTCAGTTCCATCAACCCTACAGTTACTCGCTCCCTCCTTTACAGCGTTCTGCGCGATGCCCCGTCAGACCGCGGGGGGCAGGGGCAGCAGAGTCGGGACGCTCAGCTCTCAGAGTACCCCTCTCTGGACTATCAGGGCCTCTATGTGACCCTCGTGACCCTGCTTGACCTCGTGCCCCTGCTGCAGCACGGTCAGCATGGTGAGTCAAGGCCCAGTGCACCACTGTTTGTCATCATCATCATCCCCGAACCGTCTGGCCTGCATGAAGCCACTGCTGCTTTTTTGGCCTCTTTTGTAACGGGAGGAGAGAAGTCCTGCTGAGGATCTTGAGGGATGCATGGGGTGATTGGGAGCACGCTGGATCCTGTCAACTTAATCGTTCATAAGCCATTGGATACACCAGACATAGGCCTTCTCTTCTGTGTATCATACTTGACTGCATGTTTGTTATGCAAAGTGGGAGAAATGTTTTTACTTATGTTGTCATGTGCAAATATATAAGGGAAACACACATAGGCAAGTGTAATGCTGTTTTAACACATCACAAACACATTAGAGAATGAGTTACATCCACACAGTTTTTCACAGCCAAGGCTGCATCACAGTCAGTGCTCTTACTTTTCATGAATATTTGACCATTGTTAAAAAACAGACAAACCCTCAAATGCATAAAAAATCATTTGCTTGACTAGATTTCTCTACTTTTCCTGAGGGTAAAGTTTACTTCAGTGGCTTTTAAAGAAGCTCACATTTCCAAGTATTTTTTTTTTCAGTTCTACTAATAAATAACTGAAATTTCATGAAATTTTGACATCTGTGGCTGCATACAGTATGCTAATACTGTATGTACAGCTGATTGAAGGAGTGTCTGTGTATCTCTCTTTGTCTTTTTTTGCATTTTCCCTTTCTTCTCAGACCTGGGACAATCCATTTTTATACGACAACTTGCCTCCTGCCTTTTCTGAACGATGATATTCTCAGCACTTTGCCCTATACTATGATTTCCACTTTAGCCACATTTCCCCCTTTCCTCCACAAAGACATCATTGAATACCTGAGCACCTCTTTCCTTCCCATGGCTATATGTGAGTATGACTTATCACAAGACAGTCATAATGAAACTGCTAAATGATATGTCTAGAAAGACAAGTAAAGGTTTAAGGCTTGCACATTCACTTGTCTCTCAACTATTGTACTGCAACAAACAAAAGAAGTGATCCTTCACATTATTGTTCTTTCCCTTCTTTGCCTGTGTATAGTGGGGTCCAGTAGGAAGGAGGGGGGAGTCCCAGCCTATGTCAATTTGTCTGCCTCATCTATGCTCATGATTGCAATGCAGTACACGTCAAATCCAGGTAAACAATCATATTCAAAGTATTAAGATATCCAAAGGCAACTGTAATAACTGCCTTTTAGTTAATCTGATCTCTGCTTCTTTCTAGTTTATCACTGTCAGCTGCTGGAATGTCTAATGAAGTACAAACAGGAAGTGTGGAAGGTATTTCTCCTTTTAGATACATAATGTAGATTTAAGAGTCTTTTATTTTTATCTGCAGAAATATGAAATGTACTGTGCCTAACAAAAAGTGGCACTAAATATGAAGCTAACAAGCAGACCGTTCAGCTACATTAGCAAAAAGACTAGAGGCTGGAGAAAACAGTACCCACTAGTACTGAATAGTACTGAAAGAATACAATTACGATTTGCTTATCATGAGAAAAGCTAGCACAGATTTATCCTTGAACCACATCCTGTTTTTTTACATTCCAGGCCAGCTTTTTAAATTGCTTCTAGTCTTTTCTCTTTGCTAAGCTAATAGCACGTAGCTTCATATTTAACACACAGCTGGTATTGCTGTTGCATTAATATAACACAAACCCCTGCAGCTTAAAATAAATGAAAAGCTAAAAGATGAAGGCTGGGCTCCTCTACATAAGCTGCCTTTATAGGTTAAAAGTATCTCTGCTGGTAGTGGTATCAGCAATACTGGCCTTTATTTACTTGGTATCTCATTGATATCATAATTTGCAGCATTACACACCCCTGCTTGCTCCTGAATACGTTGCCTACTGGTTACTGTTTTTTACATTTTACTTTAAATTTAGATTTAGTCTTTACTATTTTACTTTGTCTGCATTCATATTCAAATGTACCTAAATATACCAGCACTTTCATGTACATATGATGTTTATCTTGTATGCAGGATCTGCTTTATGTCATATCCTATGGCCCATCCCAAGTTAAACCTCCAGCTGTGCAGATGCTGTTTCATTACTGGCCGAACCTGAAGCCACCAGGAGCCATCAGTGAATACAGAGGACTGCAGTACACAGGTCAGATTCTCTTTATGCCACATCTACTTCTTTACCAGACTTTAGACTTATCAAAGTGGTCACCTGTCAATTGTTTTTCTTATTTCTCTCTCTCTTCCATTTCCTGGTTCAGCCTGGAATCCCATCCACTGTCAACATATCGAATGCCACAATGCCATCAATAAACCTGCTGTTAAGGTGACTGCAATCTCAAAAATCATTAAAGCTTAAATATTTTATGCTTCTGGGATGCATAAATAGATAGTCTTCCCTTGAGAAATGAATGGGGTAAGCATAGGGGAAGGTCTTATATGGCCTTGCTTAGATTGCCATGTCCGATTCTAAGCTACTTTATATCAGCGATTGGTGCTGCTCTGCTTTGTCAGCCTTTACTCAGCTGTGCACAAACGGACAGAGTAGGAACAGGCGGGTAGAAAGGGGGTGGATTTCAATTACCAGAAGCAAAGAAGGGGGTATGGTGGGGGAAGGGGGGCTTTAATTGAAAGCGGTGACCCCATGCAGCCCTTGAGGATAGGGTGGCATCGAGTAAGCACAGTGAATTACAGTGCACCATCTGAACATTGAGGCCACGAGCACTGGCGTTTAGCACAGGACCAGGCACAGGTTGCAAGACAGTGGAGCAGCATATGCACGCAGCCATCCACACAGAGGCGTGGGGACACAGGTAAAGGCGTCACATGATTTGTTGGGTGAGAGAGTAGCCTAGATATGTGACAGGGACACGTGGAAAATGTGAACTTCTTAAATTTACATCATATGTTATAAAATCGCTGTGCTTATAATTGACAAAATGCACTGGCCAGTTCATTAGGTGTACCTGTTAACAGCCAATCACATGGCAGCATCAACATTTATCTAGACACCTACTGAAGTTCAAACTGAGCATCAGAATGGGGAAAAAAAAGCGATTTGACTTTAATGTGGTTGTTGGTGTCAGACAGGTTGGTCTGCGTATCTCAGAAATTGCTTGTCTTCTTGCGTTTGCCTACACATGCGTCTCTCAGGTTTACAGAGAGTGGCCTGAAAAAGAGAAAATGTGTGAAAATGCTTTGTTGATGTTAGAGGTCAGAGAAGTGCAACTACAGTCAGTGAAGATGGGATACAGTAGCAGAAGACCACACTGGATGTTCTTCCTGTCAGCTAAGAACAGGAAACTGAGACCACAATTCACCAAAATTGGATAACAGAAGATACCTGGTTGAGGAGCCTTCATTTTGCTGCTACATTCAGATGCTACGGTTAGAATACTTAGGTTAGAAGACTTATTTCAACAGCTCAGGCTGCAGGTGGTGGCACGCTTTGGGCCCGCTTAGTAACAACTGAGCATCGTTTGAATGCCAAGGTATACCTAACAAAGTGGTCAATGTGTGTAAAGTGTAAGTGTCCTATTATTTAGCTATTTGGAACCTAAGAAAACCTCATTACTTTTACTGTATTTCATCTTGGTTGCAAATAAAACATTGAATATAATGTGTTAATTTTTCAAATATCACCTCCATTATCTCAGACTAACTTTATTACTTTTGCAGATGTGTATAGATCCTACTCTTTCTGTGGCCTTGGGAGACAAGCCCCCTCCTCTTTATATATGTGAAGAGTGCAGCCAGAGGATAGCAGGGTACGCATCTGTTTCACCTCTTTCCTCCATCCCTCAATCCTCCCCCTCCTTGAGTGGGATGCTATTGCAAACAAACATCACCTACCGCCTCCCTCATTATTCCTCTTTGTAACCCAGGGGAAACACATTGGCATGGTTACATAATTCCCTTGTGCCAATAATGAGATCATCATTACAAAAAAGCACATCCACTTGTCTCTCTTTTTTTTTTTAGCGCAGAGACTATTATAATAAAATTGGCTTTTCAGGGTGTTTTTTTGTTATTGAGAAGATATTTTTGTGTTCCAGCTCTGTAAGGAAGCTGATACCGATGTGTATACACCAGTTGGAATGACTGTATTTATATCATACACATAAGTCATGCATTGTTAAATAATTTCTTCGACCTTTCCAGAGATCACGCTGAATGGCTTGTTGATGTACTCCTGCCCCAAGGTGAGCATTTACAGTCAAAAAGGTGCTGAGTAAAGATAAGATACGTATGCACTCTACAATAAAACCTTTATTAGCTGCTATGCGTTGTGTTCCAAGCTGCCATATATTTTATATTGAGGTTCTAATTTCCATGAAAATATAACCAATTTTCAAGACATACGTATGTTTTTTGCAAACAGTTGTATTTCAGTTATGTTTATTTTTCTTGCAGCAGAGATATCTGCCATTTGTCAAAAGAAGGTAAGACATTTACACTGCAGCATAATGACATTAACGGTGCTGTGTACTCTCAGTCATTGCCATTACTTATTAACCTGACTTCCTCACAATAATAAAAGTCTCCACAGCAAACAATACACTGGTAAAACATAGAGGACTTCCCTGACCTGTGAAAACATGAACTTAGATACACTTGATTTGTGATCCATAGTTAGCTCATTTATTTGTGAATCTGAATCTCCCCTGAAGAGTCCATTCACTGAAGCAGCTCAGTAAAGACCTTTCAAAATAACCTGTTGGGGCCTGATCTTTGTTTGCTGTTGCTGAGTGCTTCCTGCTTGTTTCCTGGGTGACACTGGGAAAACTGAGTGCGTGATGATGATCTCAGGTATTCCCGTCAGGTCAGCAGCTGCCTCTCTTTGTCCTCTGAAACAGCTGGCCTCCACCATGGTTTGCCCAGCCGTTTATAATTCACCACCTCCCTTTTGGAGCAGCTTTTGTTCCAATCATTCTCCAACTGAGATTTGTGCTAGCTCTTTCAGTGTTAGCTGAGACATATTACTCATAAATGAGGCATTACTTGTCATTTTAAAATAGCTACTTTTGAGTACATAATGATATCTAAGAGCCGTGATGCGAGAACAACAGTATGAGTATTATCAGAGTAGCATTTTTTTTGTTGTTCAAAGCAACATGGATGAATAAGAGCACTCACCATCTGAGGCCAGATATGTTAATTTGATAGGGAGCAATTCATGCCTCTAATGGCACAAGATTAGAGACTGATCAGATTAGGGTGGCTCTCTAGTGCCATGCTTTTTATTTTTAGAAACCTGAGACACCGCGGGGACACATAAAGACTTGTTCTATTGCTTTAGATGTGGACAGATCCTTGTATCTTCGGAGAGAGTGATATTCATTATCAGAGTTGCCTTTGAGCCCTGAGAGATGTTTATTTTTAGACGATTGTCATCAGGCGTTATTGGAAGTGTTTTTTTTATTTTTCTATTATACAAGAATAGAAACAAACTGATTTCTCTTCCCTCTGCTCCCCCCTTGTTTCTTGGCTTCAAACTGCAGAACTGTAGCTCTCATGTTAGAAGGGCTGTGGTCACCTGCTTTTCAGCCGGCTGCTGCGGGCGCCATGGCAACCGGCCTGTCCGCTACTGCAAGCGTTGCCATGTCAACCACCACAGCAGCGAGGTGGGGGCTGCGGCGGAGACCCATCTGTACCAGACCTCGCCCCCTCCCATCAACACCCGTGAGTGCGGAGCAGAGGAGCTAGTGTGCACCGTGGAAGCCGTTATCAGGTACATGCACGGTGTTACAGAGCATATAGTTGTGACTCTGTGAAGCACACTTCAAGACAAATATAAAGACAACAATGCTGCCTCAGTTCAGATTAAACAAATAACAAAAACAAACGAAAAAAAGTGAGATTTTCTCCTCTGCTCTTTCTCCTTTGCTCTATCTCACATATGACCTTCTCTCTGTGCCCTCTCAAATCCCTCTCTTATCCTGTGTATACCTCCAGCCTCCTAAAAGAGGCAGAAATTCATGCAGAGCAGCGTGAGTTTGAGTTGAATCGGCGTCGTCAGATGGGCCTGTCTGCCTCCCACCACTCTCTGGACAACATTGAGTTTGATAACAAAGAGGATGACCAGCATGACCAGCGCCTTCTAAGTCAGTTTGGCATCTGGTTCCTGGTGCGTAATCACAGGGTGTCGCTGTATCTGTCAGTAACAGGGAGCAGGCAAAAACGATGTGTATGGCACATTGCCTCTCATCACTTCTCTTTTCAATTTCCGAGTTTCTTTGTTCACATCTGCAGGTAAGTCTGTGCACACCCAATGAGAACACGCCCACAGAGAGTCTGGCTCGGCTGGTCAGCATGGTCTTCCAGTGGTTTCACTCCACCGCCTACATGATGGACGACGAAGTCGGAAGCCTAGTGGAGAAGTTGAAGCCCCAGTTTGTCACAAAGTGGCTAAAGACAGTGTGTGAAGTGCGCTTTGATGTCATGGTCATGTGCCTGCTGCCCAAACCTGTAGAATTTGCAAGGGTAAGATATTACAGCGTCATCATAAGATCATAGGATTTTAATACCTTACATGAAGGAGAGTTTTCACTGGTCTAAACTGGTCTATGCACATTTTTCTCAGGTGGGCGGTTATTGGGATAAGTCATGTAGCACAGTGACACAGCTGAAAGAGGGTCTGAACCGCATCCTGTGTCTAATACCTTACAACGTCATTAGTCAGCCACTGTGGGAGTGCTTTATGCCTGAGTGGCTGGAGGCCATCCGTACTGAGGTGCCCGACAACCAGCTCAAAGAGTTCCGGGAAGTGCTCAGGTATATCCATCTCCCTTAACTGTTCATGGCATATATTGCATACAGTGGGCAGAGATGCTTGCAGTAAAATTGCAGCACAATAATAATAATTAAAAAAAAAACTTAAAATATTACAAGTTAGCATCACTCATTGTGTAACAGTATCAAAGGATCGCTATGTGGATGAATTTATATGGTACTGCTGTTATTCTATTCACAGCAAGATGTTTGATATTGAGCTGTGCCCACTTCCCTTCTCTATGGAGGAAATGTTTGGCTTCATCAGCTGCAGATTCTCTGGCTACCCCGCGTCTGTGCAAGAGCAGGCTCTGCTGTGGCTTCATGTAAGCATGCACACACAAACACACGAAAGCACACAGAAACACGCCGTCCTGTGTCAAGTTCTCATCCCGCCGTTCTATCCACAGTGAGTGTGAATTGCACAGGTTGTCGTAGAGTGCGAGAGTCTGGGCAGGGGCCCTGCTGAATATGGATCTGGGTCACAGAATGAGACGGATGGAGATAGGAGGGATTTAGCCTTTCATCCCATATGCACTCACAGCTTGCCGCCCTGTATACATGGATCAATTTCAAGTTTTCTCTCACAACTGTGATCAAGAGATTGTATTAATTTAGCTGGAGTAAATAGGTCACGTTCACAGCAAATACAGAAGTTGAGCTTCAGTTTAATGTTTTCTCGGCATGTGGTGTGATAAAGTCACACAGGCAGCAGTCTAATTTTCTGCCAAATACGGAGCTTTTATATTACTAGCCAAAGTTTTTAAGGTATTAACTGACGCTGCCCAGTATTCCCAAAAAATAGACTAGAGTTATAAACCTGCATGCATTCAAAATAACTGTAATGCAGACATGTACAAGTGTATGGTTTTAAGGATGACAAAAAGTAATAACACTAAATCTATTTACTTTGTGAGAAGTATATTAACCTTGTGATGCCTTCTAACACTAACCCTATGTTTGGAGAAAAGGAAAAAATCCTGTGTGTTAGTTGAATGGCTGTTTGTCTCCAGAACTATTTATAGAATTGATACCATAGGGTTCAGGTTATGGTTATCACCGACTGATTGGTTTATGATTTAGACCACACAAGTAGCAAGTATAAATAAATGATCCACATTTTTGTGTGTCTCGTTGGAGCTCAGGTGCTGTCGGAGCTGGACATCGTGGTGCCTCTTCAGCTGCTGATTGGGATGTTCTCCGATGGAGTGAACTCTTTGAAGGAACTGGCCAATCAGAGGAAGGCACGCGCGTCAGATCTGACTGGCAACACTGGAGCTCGTAGGGTGAGGAGGACCGCAATGCTAAAAATACTCCTAAGAATAAGACAAAAGACATCAATCCCCATTTTCAGCCTTTTGTTGCCATTCATTTCAGTGGCTGTTGACAACAACACAGATCAGAACACATCACCTCACTGTGCTCAGATCATCAGCTGAATAGCTATTATTAGGGCTTTGTCTGTCGATGTGTTTTTTGGATTAGGGGTGTACACGTTTCTATTCTTCTTGGTTCTATTTCCCACTGTTCATTTTGGAATAGACTGTATGTTACCATGGCAACCATCAATATCTAAATATAGCTCTCTTCAAGGGATTAATTGAATTTGGCTGTAATATAAATTTATGTTCAGAGACACCCACACATCCGCACAGATGGCTCCAGATTAAGTCGACATGCAGCTGATCCTGCTGTATTACTTCACGTTTAACTTTAGGAGATGTAAACATGCTTTGTGAGATTTGCTGTCATACCTTGCTTTTTGTCAGGATGGTGTTTGCTGTACACAGCGAACACAGCTTGCTGTAGCACTTGTTAAACAGAGGGCAGGTCAGGCTGCTGAGGGCAGCTTGTGCATGGAGCATGAGCTGGTGTGCCTGAGTTACGAGAAGATATATCATTTGTACTGTTAAAGAGAATACACTAGGAGTCAGTTTACAAGGTTTCATGATGCCATTGTGTATGAGATTGAGTGAACAGTCTGGCAGATTTTATATACTTGCGTGAGCTCGATTAGTGAATGGCTCCCAGTTGTGCAGATGAGGCATTAAAGTAAGAGAGTTGGAGCACCACACTCTGGCAGAAACACATAAACACACACAGAGAGGGAGCTGACAACATTAGAAGTGACGAAGATGGACATAAACACAGAGACATCAGGAATGAGGAGAAGGCGTAGCTTCGAGCACGGCGTAATTGTTGTATAAAAGCCGCAAATGCTCAGTTTAGAATATTTTGACAGCTTTTTTCAAATATTTGCAAGCATTGCCTTTTTATTACTTAGAATAGATCTTTTATTTACACTTTTGTTTGTGGACCACATAATAAAATGTAACATAACATAATGAAAAAGGTATGTGATGCATATTGATATATACAAGTCTAACTGACATTTACAGCCTCGCAACGCTTTCTGTCTCATTTTAACGTGACCCTAACAGCTGAAGAGAAACACATATTTCAGTTTAATGACTATTCTCCTTTCTCACAGGTGAGTGTGGTGTCAGATCCAGGACGTCGAGGCCAGCACAACACTCTCAGCCCTTTTCCCAGCCCCTTCCGGAGCCCCTTCCGCAGCCCTCTTCGCTGCAGCCCTTTTAAAAACCTGGGTCATGCCGCTGGTCACTGCGCCCTGGACCTGGACTGTGATGACGATGACATGAACCTTGGCTGTTTCATTCTGATGTTTGACCTCATCTTAAAGCAGGTGACCACCTTCCTGATGAAAACCTATAATTGTGATTAAAGTTCTGTCTCTGATGCTTCTCTTTTGTGTGTCCTCATGTTATAAACCTTCTTATTGTACAGCCATTCTCACATTATACAGTCTAGTTTAAGCGAGTCACTCTTCTCAGTCATTCATGTAGAGAAAAATGACACATACACACTATACAATGATAATAATACCCACCGGTGGGATCTTGAGATTTGTGTGTCGTGCTCTAATTTTTGTTTCTCTATTTTTATGGTCGTCTCCCCCCCGCTGTCCCAGATGGAGCTCCAGGATGACGGTGTGATGCTGGGTCTAGACAGCAGCCTGGGGAAGGATATCGTGGGCATCATCAACAATGTCTTCCAGGCCCCGTGGGGTGGCTCACACACCTGCCAGAAGGATGAGAAGGCCCTAGAGTGCAGCCTGTGCCAATCCAGCATCCTGTGTTACCAGCTGGGCTGTGAGCTCCTGGAGAGGCTGACCCCCCGGGAAGAGATACGCCTGGTGGTGAGACAAACAGCATGCATTTTTATGCATCAACTTTGAATTAACCTTGTGCATTTGGCAGGCAGGGCTTTGGAATGAGTGCATGTAGCTCCACGTGTCCCAAACCACAGCGCCAAAAACAACGCTGTGTCAAATTGTGCTACCTTTGTTTTGGAGTAAACACACAACATAAAGCATGCCTTTCACTCAGCTCCAACAAGTCTCATTCCTCCACAGGAGCCCACAGATTGTTTGGAGGAAACCTTGCTTACCCCTCCACCAGATTTCTCCATCGGGGTGGAGAATGAAAGCAAGGAAGGAGACAACCCGAGTGGCACGCACACCGACAACCCCAGCAGCCAATCTCCTGATCACGCAGGTGTGTATCGATCAGTTCTGCTTAAAACTTGATGTTTAAATTAATAATACCTGCCAGATGAATACCAATCATCCTTTAAGGGTTAACTGGACTTTAACTTAACTGGATTTTGGACTTGATGTATATCTAAGCTAGTTGACGCTTGTGACTTTTGACTTCTACTAATACAGTTTAGCAGTTTAACAGTTTGATACCAAATCTGAGAAACAGTGATATACATGAAGCCATAGAAAATTTCAGAAACCCAGTGAGATATTGTGAGTATGCAGGAAGGCTTGGTAGATATTGTTTTTGATGGACAGAACAGGATGAGCTATTTCCTTGTTTTTTGCCACAGTACAGGCAAAATTAAAAGTTCAATTGTTTTTTCTCTTTCTTTCCAGCAATGAAGAATAACTCTGATAAGAAGTTCTCCTACCAGCAGCTCCCTGTGTCTTTGAAGCTCATATACACCATTCTGCAGGTGCTTGGTCTGAATAACTGCATATCAAATCAAAGACTAGAGGCATTCAAAAATGTTTCTTTCGATTTATTTGAGTGCATATGTGTTACACTGCGAGTCACACACGTCTTCTGTATTTTCAGGAAATGTCAAAGTTTGAGGAGCCTGATATTTTGTTCAACATGCTGAACTGCCTGAAGATCCTGTGTCTTCACGGAGAGTGTTTATACCTCGCCTGTAAGGATCACCCGCAGTTTCTGGCTTACATCCAGGAGAAGATGCTCATCCCTTGGTGTGTCCAGAGAACACTCCTCCTCTCGCAGAAAAAACACTGAATTCATGCATGCTTTTGTTTACAGCTTTTAATTGTGCTAACTCCTTAAGTGACATTTGTGCTTCTGTCTCTTCTGTTTTCAGTCTGTGGTCGATGCTGAAATCAGAGTTTTGCCAGCTGGCTTCGTTGGCCGTGCCGCAGCTTCTCCACGCCCTGTCTTTGTCACACGGGGCAGACATCTTTTGGAATCTCATCAACACAAACTTCAACAGCAAAGACTGGAAAATACGATTTGAAGCCGGTGAGTCATAAAGTAACAGCGTTAAATTTCAGACTCCGTGTCTTCCTAGGATGGTCGCAGACAGTTTGCGGCTTCATGTGCAGATATGATCATCAAAAATGGATATCTTTGGCTTAATGGTTTGTCTTTGTGGTTGCGATTGTAAATGATGAGGATCGCCAGGAAGAGGAGAGGAGGATCTGCTTATATAATAGGCTTCCCAAACCACTGCCTGCCCACATCTCCCCTATGTGTTGCCATGGTTACCTTGGTACAGGCAGCAAAGAGGAATTGTGGGATTAATGAGGGGTTTTTTCACATTGTGATTAGCAGAGAGGAGCTATTTGCTCTGTCCAAGTAGTGAACTGATGCATCACAATGTCAGCTTGCGATGCTGTTGATCTGTGTCATGACCAATGAGCACTTCTAATGTTATTATATCCATTTAGTAGGGTAGAAATATTGGTATAAATCTACACATGCATGTAATATATTCCTAAATGAAGTCAACTAGTGTTCTGACTCACTGCACGGTCCCACACTCGCCCACACCGACACCTAGCACTCAACACCACATTGGCTAAGAGCTCATGGGTATAAGAGTGCAGCGTCTATTTTTAGATTTTAATCTGAGGAATGATAAGTAAATCACTGTATTTATTGAAAGCATCGCCTTTGCTAAAAAAAAGAAGCATTTGGTTTTACCACCACATTGTGCGAAGACAAATATTTAGTAAAACATTAACTCATCTCAGTCATCTTCCTCTGTGACCTCTGGGCTGATTCTGTTTATTGAATCATGGAATTATATGAAGACATCTGGCAGCTCACTTGCTCCGTCTTTGTCTGCAGCAGTAATTCATTTCTTTCTCTATTCTCACGAAATCCTCTCAGTCGAGAAGGTAGCAGTGCTGTGTCGTTTCCTGGACATTGGTGCAGTGACAAAAAACCACCTACTGAAGTATGCCTTGGCTCACGCTTTCTGTTGCTTCCTGGCCTCTGTGGAGGATGTCAACCCTGCTGTGGCCACCAGGGCCAGGCTGCTACTGGACACAATCAAGAGGCCATCCCTTCAGGTACTTTGCTCTTGTTTTTAGCAACAAAATTTCTGTTTATTTTTGGCGTGAAGGATAAATAAATTAAGCATTCTCACTAAGACAGGGTGTGTTGGTGTGCATTTAATTATAGTTTTGGTATTTATGTGTTGAAAGCTGTAAATTTTATTTATGGATTTTCTATGTAAAGGGATTGTACTTGTTGTGCATTTTTAGGGCTTATGCCTGTGTCTGGATTTCCAATTTGACACTGTGGTGAGAGATCGTCCCATTATTCTCAGTAAACTCCTACTCCTGCACTTTCTGAAGAAAGATATCCCCGCGCTTAGTTGGGAGTTTTTCGTCAACCGTTTTGAAACATTATCTCTGGAGGCTCAGCTGCACCTGGACTGCAACAAAGAGTTTCCCTTCCCTACTAGTATGTATCTGCCATGTCCCCATCCAGATGTTTTACACCTGTAAGAGAAGATTTACAACTTAACAGTGCTTCAAGTAAGCTTTGCAATCCTTGTTCCTTTGACAGCTATTACAGCTGTACGAACCAATGTAGCTAACCTCAGTGATACAGCAATGTGGAAGATACGACGGGCCCGTTTCGCGAGGAATCAGCAGAAGAGTGTGCGCTCCCTCCGTGACAGTGTAAAAGGAGGCACGGACGCCCAGTCTAAAAGAGCCTTTTCACTCCCTGAGTCACTGAGCAACCGACTACGTGAGTAGAAGACATCAGCTGTCAGGCTGTCAGTCTTATTTCTAACCTGTCTCAAAAAGTCTGTTGTTAAAAAGTGTTTGCAAATAGCATTTGAGACTTTTTTAAGTGCTTTGGCTCACATGCTATGACATAGAAGTCTATAAAAAAACAACTTTCTATTTGGAAAATGACCTGCCATTATAGATTCTGTCACAAAGTGATGATCATTGCCTTTTAAAAAAAAAAAAGAATCCTTTTCTATTTGCAAATACTGTTTGACCAAGGTCCTGTTCCATTTTCCTAATGTTTCTCTCCTCACTTATATGTTCCCGACGCTCATTTCACTTAAATGTTTTATCTGTGGCTCTCCACAGAAGGCTGTCTGAGTTTCTGAGATACTCGTGCTGCCTTCAAACACAGGTTTATCTGGTTGATCCAAATGCCCTCAATCTTTATAACATTTGGATTTCACGCCCTTTAAATCAAAAGTATACGCGTCTCTTTGTGTGCGCATATGTGTTGGAAGATGATGAAGCTCAGACATGTGTCCTGTGCTACCTCCCATGTACGCTCTCCTAAATCTTGCTCTTCATATGTGGTTTTTAGCTCTAAGGCTTACGAGGCAAGAGCTCTCTGCCCCGACACTGGGAGATATGATAGAGAAAGTCCTGCCAGGTAAATAACATTCCAAGTCTTCATCATATTGGAGAAAAAGTACAGTAAGACTTTCATGAAAACTATGTTCAAATATTAAATATTTAGTATTATACAGTATTATTGAAAATTCTCAACACAACCCTCATTTCCTTGTATTTTGCTTCCAAGGACCTGGACGGTCAATAATTTTTTAAAGTGCTCTTGAGCAATAGTTCTCCGGGCTTTCTGAAGGTCTTTCAAACGTTTGCTTTGAAAGATCTTTTACTCATTACCCTTGTACACGGCCATTTTTAGATGAATGTTTAGTTTTTTTATATACAGTATGTTAAGCCACGTAACAATGATCTATGAATCATTCAAGCATAAAAAAGACATGATGAACTAGTGTTGTGTCTACACATAACCAACAAATTAGCAAAGAACCAATTTTAAATTCTATCTTTAGGCACTTTGTTACCTGTAGCCTGGTGCAAAAACACCTAATTTGTTCCTATTTCTTTAGTTTAAACATGCAGAAAAGACTGTAAGTCACTGTGCCTATTTTCTTTGCAAAATATAAAGAAATGAGCGGTGGCTGAAGAGTTTTGCACTTTATTGTACATAAAAAATAATGTTTGGTCTATAGTGGCAGTCATTGTTCTTTCATCCTACTTTCTGGGCTAAAGCAATCCTGACACGGAACGAAAAACTAGACAGTCTGTTGTGCGTTTACCCCATTTACATATTCCATGAACACATTGTAGTGATGTATGTATACAGCATGATAATGGCTCCAACTCTCTTGGCAGAGAAATGGACAGGATGAGCTGACACCCCTCCACCTCTGTGTTGTTATCCTCCCTGCTACCGCACCCCTACCCTCTCCCCATCTTATCTCCCTGTCTGCAGCACGTTTTCTCCCGCACTTTAACCCTGATGCTTCAGCCCCTCTTGCAGGCCAGACCCCTTCTCCCGAGGACGACACCATCATCAGAGACCTGCTCCCTGAGAACGCTGGCGTCGATCACCAGACGGTTCACCAGCTGATCATGGTCCTCATGAAATTTATGGCCAAAGACCAAAGCAGTGCTGAGGCAGATATTGGTAGTGCCAAGGCTTTCAACACAGTGAAGCGTCATCTGTATGTGCTGCTGGGGTATGATCAACAGGAAGGCTGTTTCATGATTGCACCTCAGAAGATGCGCACCTCCACCTGCTTCAACGCCTTCATCGCTGGCATTGCACAAGTAACTGAAATATAATCAAATATTTGCACCTGCATATTAGGCTTATTGCGAAAGAGTACCTGAACGTCGCAACTGCCAGTGAATTTAACTTATTTGCTCACAGGTACTGGACTACAATATCGGTTTGGGAAAGCAGCTGCTCCCTCTTGTGGTCCAGGTGTTGAAGTACTGCACATGTCCCCAGCTGAGGCACTATTTTCAGCAGCCTCCTCGTTGCTCCCTGTGGGCCCTTAAACCACACATTCGGCAGATGTGGCTCAAAGCACTTCTTGTTATCCTTTACAAGGTACTTAATATTTTTTATTGCATGAATAACTGTACATTGAGTCTGCTACATAATGCCACCTAACCTCTAAGATATTTCTTTTTATGTTTTCGTGACATATTTTCTTCAATCTTTTGTACAAAATGAGCTTACATTGTTTTTATGCACCATAGTACCCTTACAGAGATATGGATGGCAGTAAAGTAGTCCTCCATTTGATCCACATCACCATCAACACACTGAATGCACAGTATCACAGCTGTCGCCCCCATGCTACAGCAGGACCACTCTACAGTGACAACTCCAACATAAGCCGCTATAGCGAGAAAGAAAAAGGTGGGAAAAGTAGCAAATGCGTTGTCTGTATCAGCAGTAGATGATGATGATGATTAGAATATGATAATATGATATATGTCATAGATCGTTATGCTAGAATAGGAGGGAAAAGACATTGTTCAGTCAGGCAGATTATGACTTTTTAATGCTACATTAATGCAGCGCTCAAGTACATTTCACATATTTGTTCTCCACATTAGAAGAGGACAGTGTATTTGATGAGTCAGACGTCCATGACACGCCGACTGGTGCTGCTAACAAGGAGTCACAGACCTTCTTTGCTCGCCTGAAGAGAATTGGTGGCAGCAAGTCTGTGAAATACCAGCCGGTAGAGCTGAATGCCAAGAGAAGTAAGAGGCAGAGGCTTTCAATGTCAAGTGCGCTCTATATTAAGCAAATTGATTCAGTCTTTATCATACAATAATATTTTTTTGTGATTCGGTCTCATTTTCTTTCCTTGCATCAGGTGAAATTGAGCTGTCAGAGTACCGTGAAGCTAGCGCCCTTCAGGATAGCATCCTGCACTGTGTGCGGGAGGAGAGCACCAGGAGAAAGAGGCTACAGGCAATCCACAAGCAGAAGTCTTTGGATATTTCCAACACGGATTCCATTCTATTCAGTTTGGACGAACATCGGCGCAAGTCCTGCATTGATCGTTGCGACATGCAGGTGCCCCCTGTAGTCCTGCCCCCATCCTCTACTACTCCCCACAACAGGTATCATGGGATAGGATCCTCTGATGGCTCTTCAGTTCGGGTTGATCCCGTGGACCGACGGGGCTCTCGAGGTGGCCAGTCTGACATCTCCAAGCCCGTCATACCAGAGGTCCGGCTCAGCTGCATGGAGACTTTTGATGACAAAACAGATCAGGACTCTTTAGAGGGATCAGCTCAGGGAAAGGACGATCAAGACCTGATTGACCTCTCCTCTGACTGCACCTCAATTCCAGAAAAGCATTCGCTGCTCTCCATGTCTGACAGCGACTCCTTGGTCTTTGAACCGCTACCACCTCTGAGGATTGTGGAAAGTGATGAGGAGTTTGATCTTAACACCATCATAGGCTCCAAGTTTAGTGGGAGTCCAAAAGTCTCAGCTTCTCCTGCAAGCAGCAACACTTTGCGACTGTCCCCCGTTGTTCAGGTGAGTGTGGAGGATTGCTCCACTGACAAAAAGACCCCAGAGCTTGTGGTGGGAGAGAGGTGCTCACAGCAGAAATTTGAAGGAAAGGAGCCTATCCGTGTGCCTCGCAGCACCTCTCTGGAGCTCCCTGACCGATCAGAGAACATCTCCCATGAAAGCCCCATGACCTTAAAGCAGAAGAGAGACCTGCTGAGAAAGTCCCCACATGTCCCTGTCACCTCGCTAGATGACACATGTGCGACCCCGGAAGAAATCAGGACTCTTATAGGACCCAGCACCAGTCCCTCTGGCAGGACTATCTTCCTTGACATCCCCGAAGACAAAGCGGAGCCGCCTTCCTCACCAGAGAAGAGCAAGAGCAACAGCAATGACGAAGAAGAAGGGGATGGAGACGATGAAGAGGAGGACGATATGGGCGACGAAGCAGACAGCGACCCCAAACCTGACAACGCAGATGAGAACGATGAAGCTGAGTTTAAAATCCAGATTGTTCCCCGACAGCGTAAACAGAGGAAGATAGCTGTGAGCGCCATCCAGAGGGAATACCTGGACATCTCGTTCAACACGTTCGACAAGCTGGGTGCTGAACAGACCGCAGAAACAGGTAAAGAGAAAGGACACGTGAACAAAAACCAGAGCGTGCTGTTGTTGATTTCAAAAATGTCTTTTAAGAAAATCTTGTAAAATCTTATTTATTACTTTTTGTACAAGTCTGGTCAATATTTTAAGAGATCAAACTATTGTAGAATAATTCCAGCTAAACTTAAAGCACTGTAGCTGATTTACTACACATAAGTTCTACTTTAAGCCAGAAAAAGACAATCCTGAGGTGTTGTCACAGTTTATTTATATTCGGCTGACTCACATCAGCTGTTTCTTAGTGACGTAAGCCTACAGAGATGCTGCCTAAACCAGCCATTTATAAATTAGCTTTGTACATTGCTCTACTTACAACTTTTAACTCTGAATATTATTCATTTATTATTTTATCTCTTTAGTTCCTTATTGTTGTTTTAAAAAAAATCAATTTTCTTGCATTTCTTTTATTAATAAATGCTTATTTTGTCATCAGAGCGAAATGATCATCACTCATTACCAGAAATACTAACCACTCTTGCCATGCATTGCCCCTTTTCATGTTTTTGTGTGTGTGTGTGTGTGTGTGTGTGTACTTTTCCAATTATACAATGAGGTTTTAATGTAAAAGTAAAAGACTGAATCAGATTTTTATTGCACTTTAATTGCCCACATGGCACCAAATCATGCCTCTATTGAGATTATGTAACAACATGCTAAACTTCATATAAAAAATTTTTCTCTTAAATTATCACTTAAAAATGTTAGATATCTATGTATTGTATTACTGATTATTGTTGGAAGACTTCTGGTATATATTCTGATGCCTTGCAGATCACAAAGTTATGTCTACCCTGGAAAAGCCACGAGAATCTGCCTCAGCACCAACACTCGAAGCTGCTATACCTGAAACAAGTCATCGCTCTTCAGTGTCAAGTAGGAGCCAAAAACTCACTACATCATCTCCTCACCGACTTCAGTTAAATTGTTTTTTGTGTATTACTAGTGCGATGTCTAATATACCATAACCTATTATTTATATGTTTGTCTCTGATTCACTTTTTACAATTTTGTAATGGAGCTTGAAATATTAAATTAACATGACATAATATACATTTTTTAACAACACAGGAAAAAATACCAATATGTAATGTTTTAAGCTTTAATTTATAACTAGTGCAACTTGAATCTGTTATAATAATGGTTTAGTTAATCAGGACTAGGGCTAAATGACCTAAAGTCTAACCCTTATTGGTTAGACTGAAATGAGTTATACTGACAGTTAAAACCAGGTACTGTTTTCTTGTCTTTCTCTGACCTCTAGCTCAGTACCGGCAGGTGAAACGAGGCTCTCTGGGAGCTTTAACCATGAGCCAGCTTATGAAGAGACAGCTGGAGCATCAGTCCAGCGCACCACACAACATCTGCACCTGGGAGACGGGTCAGTCACTGTGGACATTTTTCAGTTATAACCTTTTGAGGAGACAGTGACATAATAACACATGCAAGAACACCAGACACCCACCAGAGTTAACTGAAATTAAAAGAAGAGGATAGTAAAACACCTCCTAATAGATGGTGATGTTTTTATATGTTTTTATAGCCATTACACTGAAAACTGACTATAAAATGTGATTCATCAAATTTACATCTTTTTTATTTAACTAATAAACTAACTAGTTATATTATTTTAGGAATGATGTAAGAGGAATGATGATGCAAGAGGGCTTTTAAATTACAATAAAAGCCCTTTTATGTACATGCCCTATTACAGGCAGTATTAGTACCCTCATTTGAAAATCTCTGTTTGAGCTAATCCTAATATATTTTCATTTAAATAAATACACTGAATCTAAACTTCAATCAAATTTTTTGTGTGCTACAAGGTGAAAAGGAAATGTTTTTTATGACTGATATTTTTCCATTGTAGGTCCTACGAAGACCAGTCTCCTCTCAGCACCGAGCACAGTCAGCATGTTCGTCCCTGCACCCGAGGAGTTCATTGACGAGCAGCCTACCACGATGTCTGACCGGTGAATCAATCACTTAGTAGCTATATCTATCAAGCTGTATTAAAGTCAAACTATTATTGATTTATTGGAGAATTGCAAATCTATTTGTACTGGTGCCAACAACAATAAAACCAGAAACTAACTTTTAGCCCAAGTGCTCGAGATCCTGTGACAGCAGAGATCACATTGTCTTTACATTATGTCCATGTGGTATAACTGCTATTTCAGGGTAAATGCTGCCACTAATTAACAGTAATGAACTAAAAGAGAACTGAAAAGGATTCAGAATGTCAGATTTTGTAGGAGCTTTGGAAAAATTCCTAAAATATTCCCATCAAAATTCCCTACAGAGCTAATTTTTGCAGCTTTTTATTTTAACTTGTTGAATTGGAATTATGCATCAGAGCTGGTCTCCGTCACGCCCTGGAGTTAAAAAGCAAAAGTTAAAAAGGGTGTCTGGAAAGAAGTGTTCTACACATTGCTTGTTGGCTTTGCAAGTGATGAAGCAGCAGCTGCAATCAGCCGATAGAAAGAAACAGCCGCACCCCTGTGTGGAAGCACTGGCTTTAACCTCATCACATCATTCACATTAAGAACCTGCAGTCCACCAGGCTGTAAAACACATTACAGAACTGAGTCATTCTCACATATTTATCGGTTCTTAAACCTTCTGCTGTTGATCTCAGTAAATTTAACAGGGTGGCTCCTTCCCTGTCTGGATATTTAAAGATGTTGGTAAAAGAGTAACAATGTTTTGAAGATGACTTTGCAGGAAAGCAGAAAAGTGCGTCTAAGCCATTTTCTTAGGGAAAAAGGTTTTTCCCTAAGTTTTGATAATTCTCTCTTCAAACATTTTGACATTATTTCATATTGAAGTTGAATGGCTCAGCTGGCCAAACAGCACTAAGTGGAAGTAGGAATTTATTCTTTTAATTTCTTTTTAAGTTTAATTTAAAAAAGTAAATTATTATTGTATTATTGTAAACACTGTGGTTACATTTTTAAGGACTGAACTTTCAATTCAATTTATATGGTGTCAATTTACAACAACAGTCGCCTCAAGGCGCATTATATTGTAAGTTAGACCCTACAATGACCCCCTGTGAGCTAGCACTTTGGGGACAGTGGGAAGGGAAAACTCCCTTTTAACAGTAAGAAACCTCTGGCAGAACCGGGCTCAGGGAGGGGCAGTCATCGGCCACAACTCGATTAGTTAAAGTTAATAAATGTGACACTTAAAGAATAAATATTCTAACAGGCTTCAGATGATTATACAGGATTGGAGGTGTTGAGGGCTGCTGTTACAGTGCTGCGTGCTCACATTAAACATGGTCAAAGTTTTATATAATGACTAGGTACAAAATAGCCAAAAGCTTAGGGCTCAGACTGCTCAAAGCACTCAATTTCACCCAGTTTTTTTTCTATCCTGATTTCAGAGAGAAGAGATATTCCTAATATGGTCATCCAATGCACACAGCTCTGGCTGTGAGCACTGATCAAGCAGTTTGTGAAGGGCAGCCAATCAGAAAAATGAGCTTAAAGAGAGGCGAGTTAAAACTGCTTGTTGCAGACTGTGGATGATTGAAGGGGCTGCAACAGACCGAGTACTAAACTTTAGATAGTGCAAAGCTTTTCTAGTGGAGTCGCAAAAAAACCTGAATCTTAAAATGAGCAAAATAGATCTGTTTTTATGCTAAATCTAGCCTGGTGTATTTCCGTGTGATGTCTCAGGTGTCGGGACTGTGCAGCTGTTCTGGAAGAATATGATGAGGAGACTCTCAGCCTCGCTGTGGTGGTTCTTTCCATGTTCATTCACCTCAGCCCGGATTTGGCTGCCCCTATGCTTCTTGACATCATGCAGTCTGTGGGCAGGTACAACAGCTCCAGTAACCATCCCTGCAATCTCCATCCACACAGCACTTCACCGTTAAATGAAGTTTCATAACTCACTCTTAGAGCTCATGCATAATTCATCTCTGAGTCCTAATCTGCTGCTTTGACTTCTCTCAGGTTGGCATCCAGTGGTAATTTTTCTGGACAAGCTGAGAGGTATGAGACATAAAAGCCATAACACCAATGTGTGCAGATGTTCACTGTGCTTATAGATGACTTTAATAGTATATGTCAAGTGTGACTGCCCTTCTAACACAGCCATTCTCCCTGCGATGTCCTGCAGTATGTTGATCCCAGGGAATGTAGCAGGTGTAGCCAAGCAGTTCCTGCGCTGTATGTTTCACCAGCTGGCTCCTAACGGCATCTTGCCCCAGCTCTTCCAGAGCAACATAAAAGGTCTGTTTAAAAACCTGAAAATTCAGCTTGAATTTGTCATAGAAAAGAAACTTAGCTTCACACTTTATTGTAATGTAGCTACTTTTAAACATTCAATCTAACATCATAAGTTCCCATTGTATAAACTGCTCCCTTCTTTTTCTTTTAACAGATGGAAGTTTTCTGAGAACACTTGCATCCTCGCTGATAGATTTCAATGAGCTCAGTTCTGTTGCTGCTCTCAACATGCTCCTCGAGGTGGGATTTTTTCTTCATGTTGATGTGTTGAGTCATTCAACCAGCAGGAGGAGCTCTTGTCAAAGCAAAAGATTTGATGTCGCCAGCTTCATGTGCAGCGTAGGCCCATCTTAAACATCACATCATCTGGGCATTTCAGGAAACCTGCTTTGATCTGGACTCCTCTGCTAGTTTATTGTACTGATATCTAAATAAAAATGGGCAAGATAAGAACCTACTGATGCACGCGCTCATCCGTGCAGTCATCTGTACTTCAGTGTCCTAAATCCACTGCTCTCATCATGAGCATTGTGACTGATCAGGAGTGAAATGATGGAAATATCTTCACTTATAGAATGTCATTATATAACCCCTTTTTATGGTTTATGCCTCCCTGCCTCCCAGGGCTTGAACAACAAAAAGAATCTTCCAGCAGGGGGCACAATGCTGCACTGCCTGGACAACATTGCCACCTTCATGGAGGCACTCCCCATGGACTCTCCCAGCAACCTGTGGACAACCATCTGCAACCAGTTCCAGACCTTCCTCACAAAACTGCCCTCTGTGCTTCCTCTGAAGGTAGATATCAACTCGTCCGAGGACTTAGTCATGGTCTTATGTGATTACTGTCGGAGGAAAACGCATCCAGCGGTGCACTCGTATGGTTTAAAAGGACAGAGTCTTAAAACTGTAATTGATTTGACTCTGACACTTTTACCTTGGAGGTCAAATTAGTGTGCAATCATTTGCAACCCTCACAAGCACAGGGGAGAGGTCAACATATTTTTCAATGTGTGTCTCATTAGTGTCCTATGGATTCCAGTTTAAGGATTATCATTTGCCTGCTGAAAATCCCAACAACAAATGCAACTCGGGTAAGTTCAAAGCAGAACGTCAGTGTCTCCTCTTTCTGCCCTTTAATAACTAACCTATTTCTACGTTTCTTCCATCACACAGAGTCTCCTGGAGCCCTTTTCCAAGCTGCTGAGCTTCGTCATCCAGTATGGAACATTCGGTCTCTCCTACCTTGTGGAGCTCTGTGGACTTTGTTACAAAGCCTTCAATAAGGTACTTTTGTGTGTCTGCAGCTTGTAAGAAGTCTTGAAAGAGTTAAACCCTTCAAACTAATCTGCAGTTTGCTGCTCTCTCACTCATCACTTTTTTTGGTGCTACACCTACTTCCCCGACACTCCAGTCAGCCTGAAATGTGGCCGTGTGTCACAGATGATTAAGTAGGCAATCAGCCAGTATTGATTAACATGATTAGTTGGTGTGCTAGGACCGAGGATGTATGGTGTGTTTCTCCGTGGCTGCCTCAGACGGCGATGGAGCCAGGGCTGTCTGCACTGTTCGGACAGATGAATCCTCAGTCCTCCACCACTGTCAGCACAGCGTGGTTTATGCCTCTTGTGGTATTGATTTTTTTTTTACAGCCGCTTTAATTCCTGACCTTATAATATCCTCATTTCAAAACTCAGAGTTGCTGTGAATGATTGCTTTTGGATCTTTACCCTCTGCCGTTTTTTTTTTTAATGGTAAGGTGAGGTGTCAGGGAAGAGCCGATTTTCAATAATTTGTTTCAACTCAGTTCAGTTTTGGAGGTCAGGTGTTAAGGACACACATTAGAGCTCTCTGGACCTACTAAAGTTGGTCACATCATGCATCACTTGTCACCTCTGCATCGCCCTGTATGATGAGGAGCCTTGTGGCTTAAGAACGGCCTTTTAATTTGCTATTTTCCAAACTTACATGCTCCATTAAGTTTTAATCACCAGAGTGCTGCATCCAGGTACGTGCATTAGCAAGCCACGCAGTGAGAACTGTCAGCTCTGCATTGTGCATGAGCAGAAGATCATGTGCTTGCTCCTAACATAAGCAAACATGACTACAAAAAGAAAGCGAGAGACAAACTGGAAGTCAGAAGATGACAGTGTGGTTTGTAAACAGGCAGCTGGGCTTTGTGTGGAAGGGATGAACAAAGAGAGCAGCCTGTCCTCCGGGAGGGAGAAGGCTGCCTGACAGCCTCATCTGAGCTGCCTGGGACTCTGGGAGGAGAGATCTGGACTGGCCTAAATCTACTCCTCGGCTTTCACTATTCTCCGTCTCCCCGGCTTTCCTCCCTCCCCTCTCGCTGCCTGTCCTTCCCCCTCTATTCAAGCTACAGAGTTTATGCTCTCCTCGCAGCATGAGTAAGGCAGAGTGATAATAGAAAAAGGCAGTCTTGCTGCATCAGTACATTTACTACACTCTCTATCTTCTCGCATCCAGGAGAGAGATAAGTTCTACATGTCCCGCATTGTGGTGTTAGAGCTCCTGCAGGCTCTCAAGTTCAAGTCTCCTCTGCCTGACACAAACTTGTTACTTCTGGTTCAGGTAAAAAAACAAAAATCTCTCTTATCCATCTCGGTTTACGAGAGCCAGAAAATCACAGCAATTCAATCTGACTGCAATTCTATAACTCCATGTGGATTTTGCCAGTTTGTTTGTGCAGATATCGGCACACGGCTAGCGGAATCCACCATCATCCAAAAGCACATGATCTCAACGCTGCCGGGGGTGAGACTTAAATCGTTGTGTGCTACACTGTCTTATTAAAATCAGGCTCATAAAACAGCAGGAAATATAGACAGGCTCCACTGTGATTCCTCCTAAAGGATAAACTGCTGTTTCTCTCTACAGTGCACGACGGCAGCAATGGAATGCATGCGGCAATATATAAGTGAGCTCTTGGACTTTATTGCAGATATGCACACACTAACCAAACTTAAAGTAAGTCTTCTGTGTGTGAGTTTACAATTTGGACATGTCTCATGTGGAGAGTTTTGTTTTTCATCCTTATCTTTTCTTCACTCCAAATCTGCTCTTCAGAGCCATATGAAGGCTTGTTGTCAGCCACTGCACGAGGACACCTTTGGGGGCAACCTGAAAGTGGGCTTGGCACAAGTCGCAGCCATGGAGATCAGCAAAGGCAATCACCGCGATAACAAAGCTGTTGTGCGTTATCTTCCCTGGCTTTATCATCCGCCATCCACCATGCAACAAGGGTAAAAATGATGAGACTAAGACTGACTGACTTAATAAGAAAAATGAATGGTGAAAGAAGAAATGCACACTGTGTTGTTAATTGATTTGTTGAACTCATTTTCATTTTTTTCTTTCTCTCTAGGCCAAAAGAATTCATTGAGTGCGTGTCCCACATTCGTCAGCTGTCCTGGCTTCTTTTGGGCTCCCTGACGCACTGTGCCCTGCACCAGGGCTCCACCTCCTGCATGCCCATCCCTCTCGACGCTGGCTCCCACATTGCAGACCATCTTATCGTCATCCTGATTGGCTTCCCAGAACAGTCGAAGGTCTGGCAGACACAAATCTCTTCAAATGATCACACTCAGATTTTTCCAGATGCGATTTGTGGCAACCACAATGGCCTTGTCAGTTTTGGTCTCGGTCCTTATCCTCAGACGTCGGTGCTGCACATGTGCTCCCTGTTCCACGCCTTCATGTTCGCCCAGCTGTGGACCATCTACTGCGAGCAGGCAGCCGCCGCTCCCTCCCTGCAGAACCAGAACCAGACAGAGTTTTCTTCCAGCGCCATCCTCACGGGCCTCGAGTTCTGGAGTCGGGTTACACCCAGCATCCTGCAGCTTATGGCCCACAATAAAGTTGTAAGTGCTGCGCGGTATCCTTTGCAAACATCCGTCTGAGACAGTCAGGACTGTCGCTGTGGAAGAATGGTGATTTTCTTCTTTTAATATTATGAGTAAACAGTAAATATGTTACATAAAATTAAGTCTATTTCATATTTGTCTCTCAGATGGTAGAGATGGTGTGTCTTCATGTCATTAGTTTAATGGAGGCCCTGCAGGAATGCAACTCAACCATCTTTGTCAAGGTTTGCTATAAGTCCAGTGTCCTTCCATGCAGACAGTGCTGTATATTCTCTCTGTAACATGCAGAATAATGCTTATTTATTCATCTCCATTTCTTTTTTCAGTTAATTCCTATGTGGCTACCCATGATTCAGTCAAATCTTAAGGTAAGTGGTTTTAAAAGGTGTTAATCATACAGATTAATGATAATTACTATTGATGATTTCAAACTGAAACACTATCATCTCTTCTTTTCGTCGTAAGCATCTGTCTGCAGGGCTGCAGTTGCGTCTTCAGGCCATCCAGAATAGGGTGAACCACCAGTGTCTGCAGGGCCAGATGTCCGGAGCCCCTCCGTTCGCCCTGCGCAAATGGCTGCAGTGCACCCAGTTCAAGATGGCTCAGGTGGAGATCCAGTCGTCTGAGGCTGCTTCACAGTTTTACCCCATGTGACCTGTTCTGTGGTCAGCTCTGCCTCACCTGGGTCCCTAGGCCTGCATGCATCTGCTCTGGCTGAAAGTGACTTTAAAAAAAAAAAAAGGACTCTTATATAAAGTGATGCTGTGTGGGATTCGTTTGAAATGAATCATTTTTCAGAACCTTTAGTATATGTACAGTAAATCTATGCTATTTTAAAGTACTAACACTGGAGTTGGACTGTATAGAAGAACTGTGTTCGGTGCCCAATCTGTTGCATTTAACAGAATTGAAGAGTCAGACGACTGTAGAGGATTTCCACAGACCCATGTTAGTAATAGCAAGGGCCTGAAACCAAATGCTTGTTTAATCATAGATATGTTCACTCTGACATTCATAACCTATCACTTTTTAAGTTGCTTGGTTGCAAGCCGAATAATAAAAGTACAAGTTTTTCTAAACATCGAGACGCTTTGACATTTCAAATGAATTGCTGAGCCTTTAAAAATTCAAATATGACATTTTCTGCCCTTTGATGTCCTGACTGATGGGGAAAATGCCCAGCTTACCATAATGTGGACGGCGGAGAGATAAAATCAGCTCTGCTGGTTACTCCTCTGAGCGAAAAAAAACCTCAGGTGTCTACGGGAAAACGACATGACATGCATTACCCAGCTCCCAGCTAAGATCCTTGTCAGGCTGTCAGTCATGCTGCCTTTTGCCATCACAGCTCAGATCGATCAGAGGCCAATCCGAGTTGCGGCAGCAGCTTTGTAACTCGATAACGTGGAGCCAGACATTGGAGGTAAACAAGACTATTTCGGTTTGCTCCCCCCTCACCCCCAAAGTGGAAAGACACCCCGCCTCCTCCTACTCCAGCCCTCCCTTCATTGGCAGCAGCGAAACAGATAGGCCCATGCATATACCAAGCAAACACAATTACCTTTGGCCTAATGTGGTTTGTTGTGATTAAGGATTTTTGTGAGGTCTAACTGTATTACCATGAAGCTCTTGTCTGAGAATAACAGATGACATGACAGCAGGCCCTGAAAACCGAACAGCACATTAATCTTTGTTTTGATCTTTTCTGCTGCAAGGATTTCATTATCAGGATTTAGCATGAATTAGATCTGCTGATATAGATGTATTCTGCGAGGAAAAATTAGCTTATCGGACCAAAATAAGTCACATTTGATCTGCGCATAAATTCTTTAAAATATTACTTTTTAGTCGCAGCTGGTATTGAAAGACCCATGTTGAGAGGTGTCTGCCAAATGAGTCACTAGTATAATGATATCACACAATGTGACTAATGAACACGCACTTACACACACGCGCGCACACTCCCCGGTGACCTCAAGCCAGCTGAATCAGGCTGCAGTGCCCCTTCTCATCAACCTCTAGCCATGGCTCATCAAAGAGGTCCTTTCCTGCTGCGCCTCTACGTGTGAGAGTGTGCATTAAAGTGATGTTAGCTACAGGTGTGTATGTGCGCATGTGTCCCTGCGTGTGTGCGTGCGTTTAATCAAGTCCCCCTTGCTCTGGGGTTGCATCTGTCAGCCACTGCCACCGTTGTGATCGTTTGAACTCGCAGCCCTTTCTGAAAGAACCTTTCTCATTAGCAGCAGCTTATGTAATCAGTGTCCCACAGGTATCCAGCACTTTCCCCACCCCTGCTTGCCGCCTGCCTGCCTGCCTCCTGCAGGACCATATGGGAGCGCTGACCTGATGAGTAGGCAGCTGGAGGTGCTGAGGGTAATTAACACTGACCAAAGGACTGGCGGGCAGAGAGGGTGTGAGTGGGTCCTCAAAGACTGTGAAGGTCAGCTTTAAAAAAAGGACTGTGCAAGCTCTCTCACACAACCAATGCACCAGCACAATGCATCACCAGGTGTGTGCGCTGGTGACATCTCGTGATTAAAGAGCAGAGGTATAGAAGCAGCAGATAAAACTCAGCAGCACACTGGTAAAAACAAATGTTTGAAAAAAATAAAATCAGTGTTCCAGCACCTTATTGCTGTAAGGAAAGCCTCGAAAAATTTGTTGAGACGGTGACAATTCCCAGTACCCCTGCCTAGTGCTGTCACTTTGGTTTTATTACAGTGAAATCCACAGCGCCCTGGCTGGACAATGCATGAATGTTTAAATTGCTCTGCGTGTCCATTTGCATTACCGTCAAGTGGCACATCCAAAGCAGGGAAGGCAGAGAACTCGATGGACCCTCATTCACATTATAATTCATCAACATTCCTCTTGAGTGCTCTTGTACATCAGCCTGTACAGCACAGGTTTAGGCTCCCTTGTTTGTTTCACATCACGGTCTGGTGTGCAAATTAAAACAGAAATAGGAACATGTCTGCGCGACCTAGTGTAAGAATGCAGGCTCTGTAAGAGGTGTTTTGAATCCATTACCCTCTTTTATCTTACTCTAAAAACCTCATTTTGTTATATCAACTCATGTTCTTGCTCTAGCTGCAGAAATCTTTTACACACACACACACACACAGACGTGATTTTTTAGTGACACTGTTATTGATCGAGCCCAGAGCTTGCACAATATGTGACCTAAAAGTTTTCTGGCTGGTGCCATTAAGCCCCACGGAGAGGAGTGCGCTTGGTAATCGCAGTTCATTAAAGATGCACTGTGTGAGACAGACTGAGAACATGTCCTCCGCTGTGGGGGGCTCAGGAGACAAGGCCAGCACGCCTCTGCCCAAAGACGCGAACGGCACAGCACAGCATAGAGCAGACAAGATGGGCACAGGCTAAATATAACAGTCTCACTTTTATCACCTTCACCACGTACGGGCCAGCTCGTCTGCCCACATATAACAGTGGTTTTATAACTGCACATGCATTTCTTTAAACACAACATACTGTGGGTCAGTTGTTATGTACAGTTTTATTTACAACTGAAAAACTCAGCAATGAAATCAACTTATGCACATTTCGTTATCTGTTTGGTATAATGCATAAATTGTGTATGCTCTATTGATTGCCATATATACATTAATGGCTTGCTCCATCAACATGACAACACTGACATAATTCTAAGTGGTAGCACATTTTTTAAACTTTTACTATGTATAAACATATGTTCTGTTACACTGTACATGAATTAACAGTCCAGAAGGCAGATATTTAAATATCAATATTTACATTCATGCATCCATCATTTCTCTCATATAGGTACATGGTGGGGTTTACTGTTAGCTAATACCTGTGCATTTTTAAATGCAAGTATGTGTTTTTTTTTAAATCCCCCTCTATTTTCCACAGTTTAGCCAATATCTATACTTAACTGACAGCCACAGAGTACAGCCCACTCTCACTGAGTACACTCATCTGCATGCACGCTCACAGACAGACAGACACACACACTCATACACACGCACATGCATGCCCGCACAGACACACGCAGATTTAGTGTATTAAAGAAAAAAAAAGAAAAGAAAGCAGAGCAGCGTTGAGTGATGCTCCAGTTCAGCTCAGTTGTGTTTTTCCAGCGGGGATGAGAAGGATGCCTGTGACAGCACTGAGTCACACACATCCTTGATGAGGCCATCCTCTGTGCAACCTGATCTCTAGCTATTGGCTAAGTCTCCTGTCTCTCGCCAGTCACAAGGTCAGCTCTGGGCTCATGTCCCCTGTTTCTATAGTGATGGGCTAAGCCCTTCTTGACAGATAGAAAAATGAAGATTGTCACGTCCAGACAAAACACGCCGGAAGCCATCCAGCTGACCACGGGACATTGGACAACAAGATTTAACTGGACGACAGGGAGAGCAGGTTTAACTTGTAGAGGTGCTTGCACTGAGCGAACAAATCGGAAAGTCGGGACTGGCGTGTGATGCAGGACAGGAGTATTGTTCGGGTAACACACATTCACAAAGATCACATAGGACATAATGGAGGCCCCTGACTTTTTTAGCTGAAGTCTCAGGGAAACAGAAGAGGATATCAAACACCCAGAGACAAAACAACTGATACCAAAACTCTTTGCAGAGCAAGCGCGTTTTCTGCATCAGTGTCTCAACAAACCGACAGCCGGCTTAAAGCATTGGTGCATCACAAATGAATTATATGATCTATAAATTATTCACTTAGAAAACAGAGCTCTCAAGAAATAAGATGAATTTGTCAAGATGTTCAAGATTTGAAAAGATGTGAGTAACTTACAAGACCGTTGTTTTTCCCTTTTAAGTAGAAAAATAAATTCAAAGATAGACAAGTAAATAAATAGAGGAAATAAATACATGGATGACTGAAATATATATATATTACATTGAGCCTTCTGTAGCCTGTTTTGGCATGGCGAAATAACCAGAATGTCCCATGTTGATGTTTCTGCTCCTCCTTTGTTTATATGGATTTCTTTAAATTGCATAGTCAGAGGAATCCACATCTCAGAGCCAGGACCGGCAGCAACATCGTGTTTCTCACAAAGCATCTGTCTCAAAAATGGAGGGGAAAAAAATGGACAGTGCGAGGGTTGGAATATAAAAAAATGTTGCATTCTCTGTAAAAACTGCATGCATGTTATTTGTTGTGTGTGATGGGCTGTCTTGTCTGGCTGCCCGTGGGACTGCAGGGCTGCTGTATTGTCTGTTGTTCCATTGCAGATGTCAACAGTGCGTGAGGTCTGGATCTGCAGCAGACTGGCAGACAGTCCCTCTCCAGCCGGCAGCCAACCAGCCTGTCAGCAACACTTGCTGTTACTAAGAGCATAATGTTCAGCTTGCTGTGCCACTTTCGACACCGTGGGGGGTTGTGGATCTTTCTCTGTGTCCTTTCTGTCTTGATTTTTTTCCCCCCGTCGATCTTTTTAGCTTTTCTCGAGGTGAATGGTGTCTTCAGTCCGGGCAATGTGCCAGGCAAAGAGGGGAGTTTTACCAATCTGAAAACCTGGGGTGAAACCCACTCGCATTCATTCAAGGTGAGAGGGAACTGTTGTAGTCAGGATAAGGTGAGCGACAATGGTGATGTCACTTCATGTTTACCAGGACAGTCTATACCACAGTGTTGTTTGTACCCATGGCCTTCTTGTTACGGATGCTCATGGCATACTCCCCACGACTTGTCCCGTTCTCTTCTTTTCGGAGTGGTTTCCTGTGAATAGACATTTTTACAAAGTGAGGATGAATTCCTTGATCAAAAAAACAAAGCAAAATGGCACTACATTCATCCATAGCTAAAGGCCATGCCATTAAACAGAGTTTGTGGACTGCTGACCTACAGACTGATTTGATTTCTGAAGCTGCTCTGGGTGGATATGCTGCTCTCAGCAATCCCTTCTAATAAGCTCAGTGTTTAAAGGTCAATTTTGCAAGGAGACAGAAGGAAAAGATACATTGCAGCACATGGCATAAGGCAATTACCTACTATGACTGGGAGATGCAATCTTCTCTTCTAAGTAATGAGTATGTGTAGCTGTCAAAACAACTTGGGAATGACATCGATACACAAC